CTTAGACCTTGATGTAAACCATATTAGTTCAGTTTTTCCATCATTTAGTGCTAGCATGTTTGTTTTCATCCAATTCCGGATCTCAACTGGACAAGTTTCTATTGAGGTGATAGCCATGGAGCGATTACTTTCACTTGTGACATAAATTTGAGTGTCATCAGCAAAAATGACAGTGTTGAGACCATGTTTAACTATAATGTCTTCTATTGGTAGCATAAGAGCAATGGACCTAGCACAGACCCCTGAGGGACACCATACTCTAAAATAGTGGGCTCTGATAGCATTTGTTGCATATATATTGGGTTTAACAATTGCCAATATAATACACAAAGTCCAAATAAAATCCCCAAAATGCACAAAAATTACATCAACCCGTATTTGAGTTCTGAGTTTCTAACTCTTGTAATGTTGATAGAGAAATATGAAATGTATAAATGACTAACGTGCATCGTATACGATAAATTAATAAATACATAAATTCATTTCTGTACTGAAGCCAAACTTATAAAAGGCAGCATCATGTAATTAACTCATATCTTACATGTGATGCCGTGGCAATAGCGCCCCCTATCGTAGTGTCATAGATGAGGGGTCCTGGCGGGAAGGCGTAACCCTGTTTTTCCAGTTCACTTATCAACTCTCCCTGCGTAACTCCAGCAGCCACTGTCACCGACGAGAATGGTCTGACTGTGCCGTCCAATGCCTGCGTCCCCTAAGGATGGTTTTAAAACAAAATGTATTGTTATTTTTATTAGTAATATAAAATTATTACAATATAGAATTAATCACAATTACACTGTATGTTGAATACAAAATTAAAAGACATTATTGTTTACGTCAAAAACAAACAATGCGCTATTTATTCTTTCTGTTGAAAACCCAGTAAAAAGACGTAGGAAGAACTCAAAGATTTCTGGAACAGAATAACTGAAGATGGATGGTTTTAAAACGTAAGCATATCGTTATATTTTATGCCCTTTCCACAATGTAGGCCTACATACAAGTGAAATCGAGCGTTATACTTGCTAGTACATGTAAGTCTGGGATAACAGCATCACCTTCAAAAACGCATATCATCTATTATTTTAAGCGTGCTTTGCGTGAAAGAGACAAATGCCATCCATGATTATCAATAAACTCTACGAACATGTACTTTCGTCTTTAAAGTTCAACTTTCTTGTAATTGTTATGTAGCCCATAACAACTTGCCAACTGACTAATACCACGTACATACATGTGTATATAATCCCTTGTGTCCAATGAAAGGTAGTCTACCAAGCTCGAATGATGAAAACAGAAAAAAAAGATCTAGAGGAAGTGGGATTTTAAAGCCCAGGATATCGCAACTGAAAATTGTTACAGGATATTTCACATCAAAGCCAGCATCACACGAAATAGTGTGCTCATTGAAAGGTAGTCTGCGAAGCTTAAATGATGACAACAGAAAAAGATCAAGATCAAGGGCTTTCAACATTTTTATTTCACATCAATGCAGGCACCACACGAAAAATAGTAGTGAATTTCGAGGGACGTTTTTGAGCGGCATACAAGCTGACAGTTTTAAGATTATTATACATGTACATGAGCTCTTTTTGTCAATGTATGGCAGAAACTGACATTTATTCAGGCTATTTTATCCACCATTTTGAAAGTCTATGTAATAACTTTAAATGGTTGATTTAGTTTGTAAAATGACATGATAAAGACAGCTTTCAAGGAGGACCTTTTTTTTTCACAAGAAACAAAACTTCAGCAAGTCTCAATTTTACACATAGATATCCCTCTGCAGTGGTATAAAATGATTACTTTATAGCAACGAAGGTACTAAAACGCGGTTATTTATCCTGAATTGAAGACGCCTTCAATTTTGGTTTTAAGAGACCAACTTCGGTCTAAATTTCCTTGGTGAAATCGGTCCCTGGATCCTTAGATGGAATATCCAGGGGTTTGTCCCGTGATGAATGTGTTCAAAAGACAAATCAACAACTGGAATAAAACACATTAGCACTCACCTCCGGATGAAGAATTATCCTTTTTCCTTCATCAAGTATCAGTTGTGTTATATTTAAATTGATATGCCCACGGTCGGCCCAAATAGGTTCAGATGAATGCGCGCTTCCCACGCCGCGCACTTGTCGCCGGCACTGCAGAGCAGCACGTACCGTTCTTTGTACCTATAGCAGAAAAATAAAATCCTAAAGCTATTAACACTAGTTGCATAATCATCATGCATGTCATACCTTCTTTAAACGGCATTTATGTTTTTCAGAACTACAATAAAGGAGGTTAATGTACATGTATGTTTTGGAATTTTTAGGTAAGTCTTAATGGTCATTGTCAGTCAATAATTTTTACAATACGACACTCAAGTATAAAATGCAATAGTTAAAAGAAAGTTCCATACTAAAGTATTATTACATCATTACCCAGTATATCATTTTGGCTTTTAAAGATATACACATCTATGAAACCTAAAGCAAAGGGAGTTAATGCATTGCCTATCTTTTATACGAGTTAAAAATCATCGTTGCATACCTGAAATCGAAAATATATACAATGCGGAATCTAAATGTTGGGGCTTAAAAAATATAAATATTTAAAATGTGTGTTCAGTCAGTTACAATTTTACGTAATCGTATCAAAGCTCAAATTAAAAACCTAAAGGGCGGATAGAATCAATAAACCACGGTTTCTATGATCGTTAAAACATCATGACGTCAGATGAAAATAATGCACATACCTCCTCAGCTGACTTTGGTTTCGCCACGAACACGTGATCATAACTGACGAGTTTCTCCCAGTTAGTAAAGGACTCTAGTTGGACAATCGGCGATGGTCCAATAAAATCCTGCAGGCATTTCTGTATACCCAAAAACTCGGACGGCGTAGATATATCTGACAAATATAACGGATTCAAAGCAAGTTTGCGTGGAGTTTAAAGCGGTGGAAGAACATAGGGTTTGTGTGCAAAAGAATAGATTCAACCGTCTTCATTGATTGGAATATGGAATAGTGTCCCTGTTTCATAAAAAAAAAAAAAAAAAAAAACGTTCATGCTATTTAACTACTATGCATTTATCTTGAACTGAAATAGATCAGATTTATGGTCTTAAAATTAGACCTACTTTCTGGCTATAGATATTTTGTGATACCAGCCCCTGGGCCTACTTGTACCTTCTACGAGGGCCACAGATCAATTTTTCACTAGATATTCACAGATATGTTTCTGGCTAATTCATAGCACATTTCTACACTGTGAAGTGCACATACATGTAATTAATATGGCCTTGATATAGGGCATCCTGGGCCTATTTTGCAAGTAAAGTTGCTCGTGACGTGACACGCTACCCCTTTATAGCAGCTTTCAGTGCGAGTTCTCAGGTGGGAGCATTTTTATTAGAGGCGACCAGAAAACAGATTCTTAGACCGATCTCTTCACACAATAGTATCTTTAAAATATCAAATGTGTAAGACATTTTACATCCCATTTCAGTGATCAGTTTTAAAGATATTTAACTTTCCATTTCAGGAAAATTTTCAGGCTGAAAATGTAGTAACGTCACTTAAAAGGGGTCTACACGACAACTCTGTTGTGTTCTAATAATCGCCCTATTTATCACCAAATAAGGAAAAAATCAACTCACAGTTTATGAAACGGAGACGAAAAAATATGTGGTTTCAATACTCAGTGCTTCTGTAGGAAATTTAGACCTCTTTTCAATCTGTGCTTCCCACCGATGAGTAGCAACCCGCAGGTGAACGCTTTATTGCGTAATACGCAAAATATAACAATGAAAAATGTTTTTTGTTGTTTACTGGGTCGAATAAATAGTATGGCAGCGATTTACATGTACTTTGTACTCAGGTAATTTAAAAGCAGCTCACATATAAGGGTACACTGTTTTAAAAAATGCACCTCAAAGACACACACACACACACACACACACACATAAACCTACACACATATGTCCTCGAGAAGAGAAGACAATAGTTTCGATTCTAAATTAACTATCGACTGCAAGTACCTTTGTAAGACTGAGCATTGCCTGCTTATTCTCTGTCAAGTCCAGTATATCGAGGGACTAATCATGGGCTTCAGAGCGACGAAGGGACTATTCCCACGCTTTCATATATTGATCATTGTTATCATCAAAACTTTCATGACATGTGGTCTTATGACATTCAACTTTGATGAGAAAACAGTTTCATTAGCTCTGTATGTATCAAATTAAATCATTGTTTTTCTTTTTATCAAATTTAATATGCATGCGGGGGAATTAAGTCACCGTCCCTTTCGATCCATTCCTCGTCGTGGTCTTAAGGTGCATTGGGCAGAAAACGAAGTCCCCGACCTAGCTTTACGATAGCTTACCTGGATTGAATAGCATGCAGGCATAAATGCACGACAACGCAGGAACAACCATACTTGGTCCTTCCCCTGGCAAATCCTATGCTCTACACAGTGTCTTTAGCCCCGTAACTAGAAAGCATCACGTATTGCGAAGAGCGATATCACATAGAGGCTACAATGAATTATGTAGGGCGAGTATGGGCGAGTTATGGAATCAAGACGCTTGCGCGATGCTTTACAGCTAAGGGGCCTTGGTCTCTAAAAAGTATGTTCACTGAACCGGTGTAATGCCACAACAGGAGGCGCACTTGTTACAGCGCAAAATTGACGGTGGCAACTTTCGGTTGCAAAAATATGTGCATTTGATGTCGTGTAATTTTGTTTACGCTTTTAAGCACACATGCAGTTCAAAATGTTTAAATGAGAAGCTTGCCGATACGTGTGGATACTATGCATTTTGGGGAGTTAAAAGTAGCAGTGGCCTGGAATTTTGAATTTTAAAGTTTAAAATTCCTTTTAATGAGCGTTTAAATTAGCGCATTCTTTGATAATTTCTGCAGCGAAACAGTACTTAAACAGCTACACTGCCTCATGCATACGTGATCGGTAAATATGAAATTGTTTCTCAAAGCCGGCAGTTAATATTCGTCAGTTAAATATCGTCTCTACGATCAGGTAGTTGATACCCAGATACGACGAAAAATAGTTAAAGGAGATCGATTTTACATAACTACTTACAATGGTTTCTATTGGTATCTAACGTAAATAAGTTTTTACATTATATAAGATATTTAAAAGCGATAAAAGTTTTTAATCCTGCAACATGCTTTGTAGTCATAACAACATCGCATTTAAGTCTTCCGTTAGATTTATACAGTATGTGGCTGTTATTGCGTGCATCTTTTTTGGTCACGGGCTATCTTTATCATCGTAATTTATGTCCATGTATTATTTCAGCAACGCACCTATTGTTGTGTGACAGTTGTGGGACAGTTTCATCGGCCATAAAGATAATAGTCATTCTGTCGTGTCGACCTTAGCGCTTGACCAAGTAAAAAATTATTGCCATATTGATAGCTGTAATGAAGACTATCACGACAGAGACCTTCGCTCGGTCTTGGACATAATAACGATATACACTGTATGTCCAAGGCTCAGTAAAGCATCAAGGTTGTATGTTTAAACAGTACTTAATGATTACCATGGGACTGATATCACCCTGTGCGTGCACGTGGTGATATCAGCGCAGTAATTATATTCAGAATCAGTATGTAGTGAACCATTAATTTATTAGTACTGATAGTCTTCTAAATTTACATACATGAGATATGCATGTCTCATGTATGCAAATTTAGAAGACTATCAGTACTTTCCTACCCTCTACCTGGGCCACAGATTGACTTTTCACAGGATGTTCAAAGATGTGTCTTAAGATAAATAGACGGTTATTTTTCTCTCCCATTTTACGCTATATAATCCGCCACCCTGGTAGAGGGTACGATTCCCCTTTGTATGCACATACATGTATGGCAAAGAATGCACTGCTACCCCCAAATCCGATATACACGATAGCGTGCCTCGTCGTCGCTTGGGATGCTATCGTGTATATCGGGCTTGTGGGCAGTGCATTGTTTGGTACACATTATACATATATTCTGTATATAAATCAGGCTGAGTGTAATGATGGCTCGACTGCAGAGGTTTGGCAAACGACCTATAGGTAGATGCAGATATCTACAATTGCCTTGACCTACCGTAGGACCCATTAGATGCAGCAATTGTCCAACATTGAGCTTATGAATAAAAACTTTATCGGTTAAAAATATCAGTGATGGCCAGATTGTATCAAGGGAAAGCTGAAGTGTTATGTATAACAACAATATACCTTAATGCTAATCGAACCAGCACACGCGTTTTCTTTAAACTCATCGCTACTTTCTGCCTACTGGCTTGTGATTTTAATTGCCCCAATTTCTATAAACCGAATTTTGTCACATTTTAATGTTTAGTAGTAATAGTTTATTATCTGTTACGGCGTGACAACAAATATTAAGCATACAATGCACAAGAAAAACCACACAAAAGTGCATAGAGATTATTAAAAATGATGCTTATAACGATATTATACATGTACCGGTACATACCGCCGATATTATTACACAGAATCCATAACAACTTTCACAGGACCGTTACATTACTCATATACACTGTTGAAGTTGAACAACTGATACTGCTCTCTCAGTTTTTTAGTCAGAGAACATTCAAACAGTACATCTCTACATGTAGACAATGCAAATGTGCGATATGTGAAAAAAGAGTCGCATGCACGTTGATTGCTTATGGATACATATTTCATGTATTTCAGAAATCGACAACTTAACTGCCCCATTACGTAACTGATTACTGTTCGTGGTCTGTTTGAATCACTGTTTGGTTATATCAAATAATTCTCTCAAGAAAACGTTGGTGAACACCCCAGAAGGATCAAGTTCTCTTTGGACGGCCTTAAATTTATCCAAGTTGTCGCCGTAACTGGACCTCAGGCGTTCCTTTAAGGCTGGGAATACGTGAAGTTCTTTTCCCCAGTGAGGTCTCCCGTACTGACCAAGCTTATCCCATTCCGTCACAAGCTGAAAAAAATTGTCGTTTTCATTCAATTTTGTTGACATTAGGGTATTTTACATATTTAGATTAGTACGTCTATAAGTGCACCAAATAAGTAGGCTTATGATATATATATATATATATATATATATATATAACATGAATGTACCATGCTTGATTCGCTTAGCTATATACGCTTGTTACATACAGTTACAAATTGTTCGTGGTACCAGCACGAAACAAATGGAATGCTATTCCGGTTTCATTGTGTAGCATTTCTCTCCCTTAGGCTTCTAAAACGAACTAAAGACACATCTTTCAATGGAATTTCATAATTGAATTTTTTTACAATTATTTCATGATTTCACGTTTTAAATGGGCTTTCATTTGACAAAAAGGTTGATATTATTAGGATTTTATATTCTAAAAACTAAGTTAATATTTGTGAATATTCATCAATACTTTAATTTTGTCAACCATGGTGAGGAAATTAAAAAAAATGTTTACATCCTCATTAAAATTAATTTTTTTGCTATATGAATTTAATGCTCATAGAAAACAAGTCGATACATACGGTTGTTTCGAATGCATGGAACCGCATTAATTCCGATGTGGTAGTTGGTCTGTTATGAATGTGAAAAGATGCATAATGACCGAACTCTCCAGCCTTTCCATGTTCCCTATGACCCCCAGTCTCAGACTCTGTACAGAGGAGGCAGTCTGCCCCTTTGAACCATCTGAACAATGCCTCCTGCATTGGCTGTATACCCTTCAGGTAGGACGCTCTATTCAACAAGGACGATAAAGCCTGAATATAAAGACGAATTTACGTCACAGATGTACTGGCTATGCATCTGTACTTTTCTTGCAGGTGATAAGGTAGTAATTTTCTATTTATAAATAGGGGCGTAGTTTGGATAATCATTTCAAAAACTATTTTATCGGCCGGTGGGGTGGTGAGTGAGTGAGTGGGGCAGTTTAACTTCACGTGGTTTCGACAGACGTGGATAAAGAGTCAATATAATAATAATAATAATAATAGAACAGTTTATCAACACAAGAATGGCATGCATGCAAATTCACAATGCAGAATAGAGAAGAAAATATAAGGTAATTTTGTTGAATAATTTTTGTGAGTTCCTTTTGTCTAACCCGTAAAGCCGCTGACCCTGTGGTGAAATTAGGATCAGCGATCGTGTACTCCATATTGGTAACTTCCGGGACTCCGTCAATGGAGACGTGCGCCGCTTGGGTGAGGTTTTGTACAACGGATACAGGAAAAGAGAGCTCGTCTTTGAACACATCCTAGTAAAATTGAAAGTAAAGTGTTATTCCTTTTCTATCCCCCCTTTTTGTACACCAGGACTACCAATGTAAGACAATAAACCAGAGCAGTTGATAATACAACGCCATAATGTAAAATGTGACGTTTTTCACAATATTAATGCGATGTCAATCCTATCAATTAAAAACAAACCAATCTTGCATTTTCTTACAGGCTTTGGTGCCAGCACTTTACTCTTCATCACCTTTGTACATTTATATCCTGTCGAGTTCTAAATGTACTATTTTTACCGTTGAGAGTGAAATACAGCTACAACCATCATTATTTCGAAAGTAGCTAAAAAATCTAAATTCTCAGAATCTCAGAAATCTAAACCCCCAAAACGTATTTATGAATCATAATATGTGACACATTACGATAAGATCAATTCTAGGGATTTAAAACAAAGAGAAGAGATGTAGCTCATTTTCCGGAAAATTAATATTTTGCTAAATTAGGCCTTTAGTGTGGCTTTAAAACAGAAATACCTGACTAAGAGAGACAACCGTGACGTCTGGGACGGAGGAGGGCCTTTCGTCTTCAAAATTCATCTTGATAGTCGTTGGGTTCATGACCCTTGAAATGTAATGGGATGTGATAAGAATTACTCTTGAAATAAAACCATCCTCCTTTAATGAAATGTTTACTTTGTGTTTTATGTTAGATTGCAATTTCTGTGTTTGGGATGGAAAAGACCCCTTTCAAGTGTATAAAACTGTTTTGCGTAACCCCATGTAGTTAAAGTCGTTTACTGCTCTCTTCGCAACTATTTGTCACCGTTAATGTGTTAACACACAGCTGACTGAAGGCATTCCTTTCTTGCCATTATATCGTCATTGTAACCCTTACAAAATATAGGCAATGTGGCTGTAATGAACCCTGTATAATGATGGTAGGCCAGAAAAAGAAGAAAACAAAAGACCAACACTATCAACACAACAAACACAGAACGTTACCAAAACGTTTTTTCGGTCATATAAACGTTATTTCAACGTTATAATAACATTCTGTATTTGCTGGGAATATGACTTAATAGGCAGACATATTGCATATATTTCAACATTTTCTTTTTTTCAGTTGTTGCATGAAGGAAGGGGATGTATTGGACCTTTAAGCATTTATATTTCCAAATGCTATGGAATAAGGTTTTTATACATGAAGTACTGTTATACCTAAATGAACTACTATAATTAAATGAAAAAAAATTAAAGAAGGCATCCTTATATTCGAATGACATGTAGTGAAGTGTTTCAGATGAATATACGTCAAATAAATAGATAAATAAGTGAAATGAATTGCAGGTATTTTAAACCAAGTAGATATCTGGCATTTTGAGTACAAACAAATATTGTAAACAGTTCTGGGCATAGATAAATAGAAACACCGTTACCATATCAGCACTAAATCATTCCTGCTGTCCCAACTTTTTGGTACTCTTCCTGTACGCAACACTGCTCTGGCTTCTTCTTCCGTAAGTGAGTTGTACGGTGCGTAAAACATATTCACGAAGTAATTTTCCGGTACGAGATCCCGAATAAAGGCTGGACTAAATAAGTTCCGAAGTGGTGTGAAGGCGGTTTGGACGTTTACTTGTACCTGCTGGATAACCTGGAAGTAATATTTTAAAACAGGGCCACATAATACCTTTAGCTCGAAAATTTGCCTCAGAATGTTAGAAACTTTAGACAAAAAACTTCAGTTCAGGATAAATTCCAAAGCAGTTCACTGAAATAAAATAAGTGTTGGTCTGACACAAACTGTGTATTATCAGTCAGCAATTAAATATGTACAATAGTTCATTAAGTTGGACAACAGATTTATATTTGGTCAAACAAGACTAATGATTTGATCTAAATTTTAAAACCAGTTTGCGGGCTTAAGTTCTTTTACAAGACTAGTCTCTGATCTTGTAACCTCATACACGGCCAAACATGTACAGTTTTAGTTTAACCTTTATTATTTTACTTTAGATAAATTAAAAATACTAAGATAAGCTGTGTGTGCGTAAACTGATGCACATCACTGGTGTAAAGTAAATAAGAAACTTCACTATATTACAATCTACCATTCTACGGTTTTGTCCGATTAAGCCGAATGTATTATCAGCAGGCATAATTCAAATTCGGCGTCGCTGTAGAAAAGAAGATTGAAAGCTTGCTATACATGTATGCATAAGGTTAGATAAGACAAACCAATTAGATATATCTATTAAAAATAAAAAAGCACTGTCACTTACTGTCATTTCAATTTCAAATAAAATCCCAAGCATCCCTAAATTGCATCTTAACGCTTTCAATACATCCGCATCTGAGCTTTCGCTGAATTCTCTAATGTCTCCACGGCCATCAACAAGCTTGCCTCCGGTCATATAGCCACCTATCGACGGTTCATGGTAGAACCCATTCTAAGAAAAGGTTCAAACAGTCAAAACATATATAGACATCAAACCACACTTTTTTTAATTTAAAATTCAGAAGGGCTTGCAATCTGCATGAACGAGGTTCCATGTTGTAAAAATCACATCCAAGAGTACAAAAATCACAATTTCGTGGAAAAATTATTGTAAAACATTATTTCTATATTGATATGTTCAAGATAGGATAACAATTCATGAACAAACTAAAACAAATATTGTGAGTTGGGTGTTTTGCTTTTTTGGACCCGAAACTCGCTCTGCAAGGTTCGACAAACTTCCAGATGGATGGCTGTGGATTTGAATATGGAAAAACAGTCTTCAGGGTCAACAGTTTGGATATGAATATGAAATATAGCATTTATAAAGACGCTATGGAATGTAAATGCATTCATGGATATAAGTAGATACAATGTAACAGAACTGCGTCCTTATACATTGCCTCAAAAAAGGTCCATAAATTAAAATATATAAATTTACGACGGAAGAAATAAAGCGTAATGGTTAACGTGCCATACATGTGATGCAGTTGCAATAGCTCCCCCTATCGTAACTTCTCCAATGAGAGGACCCGGATGAAAGACATAGCCATGCTCGGCGAGCTCATGCTTCAACTCTGCCTGGGTGACGCCTGCCGCAACTTTCACGGTAGGGACATTGTTCGCTGCAATCTGTAATAGCAAGTATGGTTCATTTAATCATGTGTACTGGAAGGCCTGTATGAAAATGGTAGGGGGTAACTCCAATGTTTTCATAACAGTGTTTTTTTTTCTTACAGATGCAAAATTTGATGCTTAATACGAATCTAACAATTTTTCTTACGACATTGTCGATTTTCAAAATGATGGACAAAACGACCTCCAAAATGTTATTCCATTTAAATGACAATTGTAAGTACATGTACTAAGTTTTACTCTGGTATGCCTTTTCTTATGTGTTTGGAGTTGCACAGTCCGATTCTTGCATTAGTGCTGTCATTGGTAGCCTACATTCCAAAAAGCTCAGTATACATAAAAATAATAATAATGTGTCATTTGAATGAGACTAGATATACCTCAAATATATACGACATCGGAGAAATAGAACACCTACCTTGGGCAGCAATATCACCCTCTTTCCTCCTTCTAGGGTCAACTCGGACGTTCTGATATGGACATGTCCTCGACCACCCCAAACTTGATCAGCGGTATGTGCGCTGCCCACGGCGCTTACTTGTACCCCGCAAGTTACGGCAGCCAAGACAGTTCTCTGTATCTTTAGAAAATAATGTAATTCACTTAAATAACTGCGTTTAAATTTTTAGAATCGACAAAAATTTACATGTTATCAATGTCTAAATATAGGCCTACGAAGATTATCATATACGTTAAAAATAATATATTTTCAAAGCACATTTGTAACTGCTGTCAATTCTGAATGATAACGAAAGGCATTTAAGGTCGTATTAAACATTTGAAAAACATATGTTGGCAGTATCATTTACATTACAACAGTGATACTTAGCTGTACCTCCTCAGCTGACTTTGGTCTCGTCACGAACACGTGATCATAAGTGACGACTTTCTGCCAATTAGAGAACGGCTCTAGTAGGACCGTTGGCGATGGACCAATAAATTCCTGCAGGCAGCTCTGTATTACCAATAACTGTGGCAGCGTCGCAAGTTCTTATGAAAAAACAAATAAACATTTCGTTAGAATAATAATGAAATAATATGACCTGAATAATATGAACAAAAAGACCTAAAGGGTCGCTCAGCGAATAAAGAACACCATTAATTTATTAGTAAACTACTAGATAAAATGACTTACGAATATGCATTAAAATAGGTGTTTGTTTCAAAATTTATTCAATGGGACAATGTGGGATAATCCAAGGGCTCGCGGTTTAGCTTTAAGGCAAGGAAGATTTCGAGAGGTTTAAAGGTGTTAGGATCAGAAATATTGGCAGAACTGCCAGGGTTATTATTGGCAGACTAGCAAATGTGTCTCGGCAGACATTAAAAGCTAACAAAATTTAACCACGGATTTTTTGTTGTTGATTTCTCTTCAATTCTGTCTAATAAGTCTGTTGCACAACGGTGCAAATTCGCTGTTTTTCGTAAGTAATTCACTTTGAAACTGGTATTTTAATTCAAGGTGATTTTGTATCGAATCAAAACAGTTACAGTTTATTTGAGGCGATACTCATATATCATCCAAGGATGAACACGAATCGGCCCTGTTAAACATGTAAATCAGTGTATGACAAGTAAACAGGTCAAGCATAACGGTTAAACTTTTTCGTGTTTTATTTACGTTTCCTCCTGCCATAGAAACCCATTTACTTCCAATTTAAAGGGATAACAACTCTTCTTATGAGTTTCATATTTCACAATAAATACATTGTAAACAACTCATAGTGGACCTTCATAGGTGGCTACCCTCCATGATTATCTCCTAAGAGATATTAACAAAAAATAAACTAACATGGGCTGACTTGGATTATCGGAACGGATTCATTGACAATTGGTAAGTGTGGGGAAACCGTCGTTTACCCCAGGATAATACGTTTTACGGCACTACCCCCCCCCCCCAAAAAAAAAAAAATAAAAAAATAAATAAAAAATAAAATAACAGTTGTTATACTTAACACTGCGCCCGTATTATTATGCTTTATGCGCCAAACAACTAACAACCTATATCACAGAGAGAGAGATTGATGTAGGACGTTACTATACCGGTAACATGGGTTACATATTCACCTAAAGTGACCTCCTTTTATCCAAACCAAAGTGAAGTGCATACGCTCAACTCCGTAAACGTAGAGAAATGACATCAGTTTGATCTAAAGGAGACATAGGCCTATTACCTAGCAAAATGAACTTCATAATGTTTTAGTTTAATATTTTACCCAATTTTTACCTGGTTTAAACAGCAGACAGGCGTATAGGCAGGAGATCGGCGGGGTCACCATCTTGGACAGCCTTTCTTCGTTGTTCAATTTACACGAATTCCATTCATGACATGTGCACAAACAGAGCGTGACGAAATAATGTGGACAGTTAGGTTGTTCCTACAAAACTTTATCAGTCTGGTCACAGTCAACCTGTACAAAAGTTTATACCCTCTACTATAATGTTGAATAAACAACAACATTTTTATTTTTTCAGTGTTCAAACAGGTTTGTGAGACACACCCATCGTGAATATTTATAATCAGTTACTGTAATAACCGTTACTATTACACTTCTCAAAAAAATATTGAGCAGATATAAAGATATTTTATTGAAACGTGTGTGCTGCCTGACCATTCCAATACTGTATACATACGTATCTTTCTGAAATACTTACATTAATTTCAGTTTCCAAACAAAAGTTTAGAATGTTTCCACAATGTTCCTTTTTCTTCTGAAGGTTTGTTATGCTGATAAGATGTTTCCGTCCGAATTCAACCATTTTCGCGTTTGACCAATCGTTAAATATTTCTCTAATTCAGCATATCAATAATTTGTTTCCCCAAATTACTAGAAGGAAATATCTTTGCATTCATATCCCATGAAAATCTACATGTATAACAGGTTTAATGACATGGAGAATTTAAATGCGAATACCAGGGAAAACAAAATGCCAACTGACACTAAAATGTTCAAACAATTAACATGAGCATTAATTCACTGCAGAAATTCTACACTCAATATATTTTCCATGTCACGCCCGTGACCCTGTAGTGTCTGTATCTCTGTAGCGTCCGCAACAGTGTAGTGGCCGAGCCACTTAAGTAGTAAGTACATGTATTTGATGTCTCTGCATCTTTTAGCAAAAAAAAAAAAAAAAAGGAAATTACACAATAACAATAAAATTAAAAGAGGAATCACTTTCTTTTAATATCAAATAATTCTCTCAAGAAAACGTTGGTAAAAACTCCCGATGGGTCAAGTTCTTTTCGGACGGCCTTGAACTTTTCCAAGTCGTCGCCGTAGATTGATCCCAGTCGTTCCTTTAAGGCTGGAAATACGTGAAGTCCCTTTCCCCAGTGAGGTCGCCCGTACTGACCAATTTTATCCCACTCTGTCACAAGCTGGAAATTCGGATAATTTACAATGACTTTTACCCAACAAGTATAGTATACACATGGATAGCTACCGTTAACACAAGTATACGTTCTTAGTAGCGCCAGCTTTTCGTTGTCATAAACCGCAATAAAAGTGCCCAGCAAGTATATGTTTTCTACCTGTTTCTAGATTGCGTGTTGCTTCTCAACTACTGCATCGAGAACTGGCCTGCTTTGACATGTTACAAAAAGGAGCTTTTGATACTACTACGTAGGCAATGTTTTGTAGATCTAGGACAGGTCGATATATATATATATATATATATATATATATATATATATATATATATATATATATATATAAGGACAAGCTTTCGATTTTGATTCAAAAGTCAGCAAAACCAGGAGGGGGGAAGACGAAACATATTCATGTAAATGGACAAAAACTAAGGCTTTTAACTACCATGTCAGTTTTTTAAAAGCATTTTTTTTGTATTTATTTAATACCCCTCTTGTTCAGCAGTATAAGCCATTTTGAGGCGGCAAAGCTCAACTGGTTTTGCTTTTGACCAAACCGTATTGAATTGTACTTCATCCTACTGCCCGTATTTGTCAACCTTTTTTACGTGTAATGTACAGTATTTAACTCTGTTTTACAAAATCCTAGACCAAAGCTTAATCTACGTATTCTTGCCTAGCTACTATATTTTTGTATGGCCAATTGCTAGTGCCTGCGTTACAATTAAGGATTGAAAATCAATATTTAGACAACTTTTAACTCATTTTGAAAATGACGTATTAAAACTGGCAAACATGATATAACTAAAACGTGACTATCTTTTAAACTAAATGAGCTATCTCACAAATTCAAACTAAGTAATACTGAGATATAAGGCTATCTGCTAGAAAGAAGTATATGTGGATCATAATACATGTATAAAACCGAAATAATATACTGCACTTGGTCTCGTTTTGGTACCTGTTTATCCACCTGTATAAAACAAAAAGCAAGAAACAAAAAACACATTATTGCTGTAGAAAGGTCAAACGCCCCCTGCATGAAAATAAGACACGTGATAATACATACCGCTCTTTCGAATGCTTGGTACTTAATTATATGCATTGAAGAGGTTGGTTGACTATGGATGTGAAAAGACGCATAATGCTCAAAGTAGTCAGCCTTCCCATGCTTCCCACGATCCCGAGACTCTGACGCTGGGCAGAGGAGGCAGTCTGCGCCTTTGAACCACCTGAACAATGCCTCCTGCACTGGCTGTATACCCTTCAGGTAGGACGCTCTATTCAACAGGGACGATAAAACCTGGAGATAAAGATGAATTTCCTTCACGGATTCTTGTGCCATTTGTTCAGGCGCAAAGGGAAGACATTCTGCGTTTTTTAAATTTAGAAAGGGTTCAGTGGGGTTTTCAATATAGGGTGTGCTACAGCCCCCCCCAAGTCAATGATTTTATGCAGGTTCGCCGGCATCCCTCTTGTACTTTGTGTACTACGCAGAATAAATTCTTCATTATATATATTCATAATGACAAAGAAAGACTGAAAACTACATAGAATTTGCAAACAATTTATATTCAACAGTGAGTGCCGTTGCAATGCAGCAATAGTGCAATTAGCTTAAACCACGTAAGCTCCGAGCGACAGCATACTAAATAACGTTGCGTAACTGATTATTGTTTGTAATTTATTATAGCTATAACAGCAACTCAACACAATGACAATTTAACAATTCAAATAAATTCAAAGGCATTTTAAGAGGGGGAGACATGCATCCTTTTCTCTTTCCAAAACATACATTTGTCGATTATAACATAACGAAGGTTACGCAACGTCCAAATGATTTCATTTGTTCGGTCACAAGGAATGCTGTTTCAAGATACACTCATACTTAGTACACCAATACTTATCTTCGTATAAAAATGAAATGTAGATTCACAACACTATATCGCAAGGGGCGGAGGAACTATAAGATGTTTTATTGGGGTCTATTTTATTGAGGTACTGTATGTCTAACCTGCATTCCTGCTGCACCATTGGTGAAATTCGGATCAACCATCACATATTCCATACTGTCATCCGCTGGGAACCCGGTAATGTTGTAGAACAATACCTCTGTGAGGTTTTTCAGAACAGAGACGGGAAAAGAAAGTTGTGCTTCGAATGCAGCCTAAAGAAATTGAAAGTTAAGTTTTATCTTCATTCATTTCCTTTTTTTTTTTGCATACTAAGGTTAGCATTGTAAGGTAGTATACCAGAACACTTGATCTATTGAATACGGCATTGAGGTGGAAAGGTTTTTCTCATGACTAGATACATACCAATGACAAGTCACATTTTCAAACATCCAGGGTTTTGTGAATAATGATAAAATATTAGACAGTTTAATGTCTTACTAATAGGCAATTAAGTGTCTATATTATCGATTTTGATACATTTTTATATCTGACCTCTGTGAAAAGAGAATATAAAATATTTAGTACACAAACAGTCACACAAACCTCATCACAAAAGGAGAATTTCAGTATGAATAGTGAATATTGTTTCAAATTTAAAAGAAAAAGAAACATTTTCACTTCATGACAATTCATTAATATAATATCAAGCACATGGTTATTTTAGCCAATCCAGGGGAAGGGAACTGCCCCCTCCCAACTCTTAGCTTTAGAGGTGCTCCCAGCTCCCCATAATCCCCCCCTTTTGCTCGTTCAACAAACGAAAAGAGACAAGGGCAAGTAAGTTTTGTATCCCTGTGTTGTGTTGAATACGAAAAAAAAATGTGAACTTATCCTTTATCTAACATTTTCAATTTTCGAGACAACTTTCCATCCTTTTGGCCTACCCATCACTTGGCAAAATCTTGTATCCATCAAATGTGTTGCGAAATTAAGACGCAAGACTCAAAACATTTAAACATATATTTATATATATATACCTTATTATACATGATTTTTGAGACGGACGGTGGCCTTTTGCCTTCTAAATTCACTTTGGCAGAGGTTTGATTTATGATCCTGGAAAAGCCATGAGACAATAAATAACTGTTTTGGAAAGAACACCATCCCTCTGAACTTAAATTTAGGAAATGAAAACTACGTGTTTTATGTCAGGTTACAATGTGTGGGTTTGGAATGGGAGGATGTTTTTCAAGTCTGCCAAACTGTTTTGCTAATTCCAAGCAACAACTTATGAACTAGCTATTTGTATAGGGAAGCAGAGGTCTGTCATTAATATTTGTATAGGGTGGCAGTTGCAATAAGATGACATTGATTTACTTATTGCATAAAAAAATTTCGGATAACCAGAAAAAAAGACGAAATTAAAAGTGGACGAAGTTAGAAAGACGAGCATTATTAACATAATCATATCCTATGATATTTTGTCTTTTTCAATTTTAGCATAATTTATAGATTATAATAAATGGATTCAAATGTTTACTCTTAACGATATTACTGCTTACACCATCTTAATGACCTAATTATACAAAGTTTATAGCATGCTTTTGCGTGCGGTTTTGCTTTCAATGACCTTGCGTCTGGAACTTTTATATATACATATAAGTATAAAATGCCCATAAGTTAAACTTTCGACCTTCAGCTTATATCGCATCACATGCCCCTTTACAGGTGTAGTTATGCAAAACACTGACTAGCTCTATTTTACACAAGGTTCATATAATCTTTGACATTTAATCGGTATCGCTTTGAAACTGAAACATTCCATTTTAAATAACTCGGCATTAATTGCAGACTTATTTAATTATTTTTAATTATTTAATTAACATACTTGACATTAATGAAGATGGTGGAATTAAAGTACTTGTGATTAGTATATAATTATTTGATAGCATTTTATCAATAAAGCAATGTAAATAATATGTATCAGTTTTTAATGCAGAGTTTTAGTAATAAACTGAATTTAAATCTTAAGTTTAAAATGGAAAAAGGTGTTGTGAACAGATTTGGCCATGGATAAATGCAGTCACAAATACCTTATCAGCACTAAATCATTTCCGCTGTCCCAACTCTTTGGTACCCTTCCAGTGCGTGTCACTGCTTTGGTTTCCTTCTCCGTCAGCGAATTGTAAGGTGCATAAAACATATTTACGAAGTCATTCTCGAGTATGAGATTCTGGAGAAAGGTTGGGCTAAACATGTTCCGAAGTGGAGTGAAGACGTGCTGGAAATTGGCAACCACCTGCTGGATAACCTGGAAGTTACAATTTAAAACGGACCCAAAATAAATTCAATCCAGTATAAAGTACTGGTGAAAACTTTTGGTACAAAAGTTGTGTCAAACCCAGTACAAAATATATAAGTCTGTACCTAACAAATGATGCCTTTTCATCTTTTCACTTACTTCCAGTTCAATTTCAAACAAAATTCCAAGCAGTCCTAAGTGGCATCTTAACGCTTTCAATTCATTCGCATCTGAGTTTTGGTTGAATTCTCTTATATCCCCACGTCCATCAACGAGCTTCACTCGCGTCATGTAGCCACCTATCGACGGTTCATGGTAGAATCCATTCTAAGATGGCAACAAAATGGAAAAATAATAATAATAAATAACTCGCGCAGAACTTCAAACACAGCTAGGGAGATTTCCGATCCAAGGTGACAGGATTTCATAGTAAGTGCTGCGTTCAGCTGCAATATGTATGTGTATATCTGTAGAAAGTAATGCGATTTTAATATTATTTCTAATGCTGAGTTGGGTGATTTGCATATTCGGGTTCGAATTTCGCCTTTGCCAAAGAGATTCGGAAAACGGGATTAAATCACAACTTGAATTTGGAACACACTCACACTCCCTCCTCTCTCACACACCCCACAAGCGCGCACACGCATTCACACAATTGATGAACAATGTGCACGGTTTGGATCCCAATCTTGAATTAGGCCCTAGTTATAAAGAAACAGAGGAATGTTTATCTAAAACATGAGAGGACACACAGAGATAACGGAGATGTATTTTTAAAAGTAACATTTGTAACATTTGTAAAGCAAATTTGCCTATTTTGTGAAGTTACGACGGAATAGAACTAAAGCGTATTGTTAAACCTATCATACATGTGCTGAAGTTGCAACGGCTCCCCCTATCGTCGCTTCTCCAATGAGTGGCCCCAGATGAAAGACATAGCCGTACTTGGCGAGCTCGTAGTTCAACTCTGCTTGGGTGACGCCTGCTGCAACTTTCACGGAAGCGACAGTTTTACCTGCAATCTGTAATAGTCTGTCAATATGATGGGAAATGCATTTCCGTCATTTAAATAATAATAATAAAAATCATAATTCGAAGAATTGAAATTGAAATAGACCTACATGTACAGCATATGCTTGCATCATCAGAGAAACAACACATACCTCGGGCTGCATAATCACTCTCTTTCCTCCTTCTAGGGTCAACTCGGACATATTAATATGGACATGGGCTCTACCACCCCAAACTTGATCAGCGGTATGTGCACTGCCCACGGCTCGCACTTGTAGCCCACAAGTTGTAGCAGCAGAAACAGTTCTCTGTATCTACAAACTAAATTCACTGTAACTGCCATTAGATTTAGATTTAAAGATTTTATTGTTCGGAAAATACGCTATAATTTAGCATTTTCCTTCATTTTCCAAACGAGGAGACGACAATTTTTCAATCTCAAACATCTCTCAATCAAAACGAAAAGCACTCAAAAACTACATTTGTAACACTTGAAAATTGCAAAAAAAGTTATTTGCCACAACATTATTTTGAGTAAAAAAATGCTTTTCTCTACCTCCTCAGCTGTCCTCGGTTTAGTCACGAACACGTGATCATAAGTGACTAAATCTTGCCAGTTAGAGAACGGCTCTAGTAGGACCGTTGGCGATGGACCAATAAAATCCTGAAGGCATGTCTGTATTACGAGCAACTGAGGAGTCGTCGCAATATCTAATTTAATATAATAATATTATACATTTTATTTAAAGTATGAGATAGATTAAAACATTCAGGACACTTTACAAGAGTAACTTAATAAATTTATCCAATGCAAAAAGCCTGAATATTCAATTAGAAAAAAAATTTGCAAAACTTTACATGTAGCCTACGAGTAAAGTACTCAACACGGAGATTATATCTTAATATCATTCTACAGATGCAGTTGTTGCCCATTGAAGGCTGTACATATACTTTGAATTTTGATTTTTTTTACACTGATGGAGAATTTACCTTAAATATTAATAGTATTTTATTGCATTTTCAATATTGGTCCGCCGACAAGGGTGTATCAACCTTTTTGGGATCAGAGTAAGTCAATTTTTGCTGCGGAGCTTCGTTTTTCATTTGCTAAAAGAGGTCAGTGTACTTTTTGCTGTTCTCGTGCGTTCTCCCGTTTGTTCTCATAAGGTGGTTTCGCAGTGAATAAACAGATAAAGTTTACCAAAGATGACCCTTAGTGTTGAAGGTAAAATCGGATCACACCGGTGAAGTAACCAGGTGTATTTTTCGCATTTACGTTTCTCTTGTCACAGACAACTCCATTGTTCTACTTTAAGATAACTCTAAACATAACACAGTCCCGCATTACTAATACTACATGTAAATGTGCCAAACTGTAAAGAATATCTACTGTAAACATATGGCAGCCATGGGTGTTGAACGTCTTTTAACCAGTCTGTCTCCGGACCGGCACTCGGTCTGTCTCTATCCAAACCAAACAGACGGATATACACCGGACCCCTTAGAGGTCACACGTTAACTCAGAGGGAACCCATGAGCATGCTCCACGTACCCAGCTGGTTCGTTAATCATATTTTCCGGTCGTCAAGGGAGGGGGGGAGGGGGGGGGAGGGGGGGTTGCATAATTTCAGCTGCCCCTTTCTGCATTACGGAACCTTCACCCCATGTTCAGTACATTTTCACCTGTGTTATAAGAAGAATATCTGGCTTAATTGTGCATAAGTTTTTGAACATGTTTTTTTTTTAATTTCACCTCTCTGGGAGTCTTTGAACGCTCAATATTACAAAATGCTCCACATTGCTCCTTGCTCCCCATATGTGTTCTTCATGACCTTGATAAGGCCGTTTACGGTGTAAAAACTGAACACTATATACTTCAGTAGTCCCAGCACGAGTATCTTGTCTGGTTTCTCAAAGTTCTATCTAAATGACATCTATTACATCACAAAATCTACTTCATTATATTATAGCTAATCCACCCAATATTTTACCTGGATTAAACAGCAGACAGGCATACAGACAGGAAATCGGCGGGGACACCATCTTCCACAGCCTTTTTTAATCTACTGTAGAAGACGCATATAAATGTGTATGACCTATCTTAGGTCATCGTCTGTACACAAAACAGAGAGTGACAAAATAATGTGCACACGTAAGGTTTTGTTGCGTAATTTCTATGGGGCATGCTCATTTTTTCTTTGAACAGTTGTCATGTATAACTGCTATTGACCAATTTTAATATGTATATAGCACGAAAAGGCCGTCACAATCATTCCTTATTTGCTAACTGTTATTATGTTGGATGTAGTGGTAAGGCGATGAATTTGATTTCTCTGCACATTTGAGCCCTTGAGACTTCAGGATAAATAAAAATGTTTATAAAATCACACAGTGACAAGAAAATGAAATAAAAAATCGTTAAGTGATTTTTAAAATTTATTGGTGCATAACATGCAGCAAAACGGGCTACTGACAATGTACACATAATAAAGTGGTATACCCTTATAGTTTTAAAATAATTAACTTCATTTAAAGCACTGTGTAATGTATCTTTTAGTATGCAGTAGATTCAAAGTTTTGAAATCAAACTGTGTATGGTGCTGTATAACGTTCATGGGCTGATCCGGGTTTTTTTTGAAGGGGGGGGGGGAGGGTTAACGAATGACAAGCATCGGATGCATATCCGACCCTTGCTCCCTTGGCGTGGGATTAGGGACCCACTCCAGGGCCCCGAAAAATTTTGGTGTTTTGGAGGGCAAACGGTTCCATTTGTTAGGCTCTCTCATATTAGTTGAAGTAATTTTTATACTATTTCGCGGGTTTCTACAGCAAAACAGCTCGAGCGACAATCAACTATAAAGCTCGCACATGGATGACAATGGCATATGTACATGTATCACAAATGACGATACAAATGTGTGTTTTGAGTCAGTATGCTGGATAGCTTTTAATCTACATTTAATCTACATGTTTGGTTAAATTATCTTTGTAAAGTGTAGAGCCTACTTAAGAATCTATATATATAATTTCGCTGGTTTCTACAGCAAAACAGGTCGAGCTTCTATCAAATATAAAGCTCGTACATGGATGACAACAGCAAATGCACATGTATCGCAAATGACGACACAAATGTGTGCTTTGTTTCAGTTTGCTTGATAGCTTATGGGTACATTTGTGTGATTTTCAGGAATTGAAAACTACGCGGATTTTACTCACTGACATGTCCGTCGGCCCTTTCAATCAAGGTATGTTAATATCAAATAATTCTCTCAAGAAAACGTTGGTAAAAACCCCAGAAGGATCAAGTTCTCTTCGGACGGTTTTAAACTTATCCAAGTTGTCGCCGTAACTGGACCTCAGGCGTTCCTTTAAGGCTGGGAACACGTGAAGTCCTTTTCCCCAGTGAGGTCGCCCGTACTGACCAAGCTTATCCCATTCCGTCACAAGCTGAAAAATCGTATACCTATAGTGCATTTACAATGACCATCACCCAACAAGTATAATATACACATAAACAGCGACCATTAACACAATAATGTATTCCTAAAAGCGCTACAAATATCAGTAAAAACAATGTTCCGCAAGCACATACATGTGGTTTCTACCCACTTTTATATTGCACGTTGTTTTTCAAGTATTGCATCGAGACCTGGCCTGCTTTGACACATTACTGTTGGCACTAACACGTGGTCAAAGTTTTGACGATCTGGGTCAGGTCGAAGGAAAAAAATAAAGACAAACTTTTAATTTTGATTCAAAAGTCAGCAAAATGGGGCGGAGACGCAATGTATTTTATGTAAATAAACGAAGACCAAGGCCTTTAACTAGAATAACGTTTTTTTAATATCTTTGTACTTGTGTCCGTCCCCGTCTTGTTCAGTGTAATATTAGCCATTGTGAGAGCCCAAGTTCAACTGCTTTTGCTTTATACGAATTAGTATGGAATGGTATCTCCTAATACCGCCCGTATTTGCCCACCAACATTTATTAACTTTACTTTTTTTCAAGTGTTTGTATCTAACTCTATTTGAGAAAATCCTAGAACCAATATTAAATCTGCATATTTATGCCCGGCTTCTACACTTTTTGCTAGTGCCTGCGACAGAATTAAGGATAGGAAATAATTTTTCACTGTTTGAAAACGACGTCTTAAAAATGGCAAACATGATGTAACTAAATAGGAATAATGTTTATTCTAAATGAAATATATCACAAACCAAAACGATTTAGTTATAATGAGATGTGTGGCTATCTGCGTACCAGTATGTATCTATGAGAAAGAAGTATATGGGGATCCTAATGCATATATAAAACCGAAATTATATACTTTGCTACACTTCGATTCAGTCAGCTCAATATCCACCTGTTAAAAATAATTTTGCTATATTAACGCGTCCAGCATGACTTAAAGACACGGAACAATACATACCGCTGTTCCGAATGCCTTAAACTGCATTATTGCCATTGTAGAGGTTGGTTGACTGTGACTGTGAAAAGACACATAATGTTCAAACTCGTCAGGCTTCCCATTTTTACCACGAAATCGTGACTTCGAGGCTGGACAGAGGAAACAGTCTGCGCCTTTAAACCATCTGAAGAGTCCCTCCTGCATTGGCTGTATACCCTTCAGGTAGGAAACTCTATTCAGCAACAGCGACAACGCCTGAAGATAGAGAAGAGTTTTCGACAAAGATTCGTTTACTGTTGATTCAAGCATGTCTAAGAGGGTGTGCTTTCGGTGCCCTCTCCCAACCTATTGGCACTTATGTCCATATCAAACTTATTTTTGAAAGATTGGTGTGACGTACTAATCTTGCAGCATGCTGAAGGGTTAGGTCTTCATACAGAGCGATCACTACAGTAAGTGGCCGAATCAGCGCACGCCCTTTCAAAAACGCTGCAGACCACTCAGTTTTTTTATCTGTGTAAGCAAGAATGCACATATTCGTAATGCACTATTCAAAATTCGTTTTTCTTAAAAGTCTTAGGTAAGATTTTATCGTTGATAAAGCAAAATAGTGCCTTTGTTAAATATTTTATTATGGTCAATGTTATTGAAATACTGTATATCTAACCTGCATTGCTGCTGCTCCGTTGGTGAAATTCGGATCAACCATCACATATTCCATACTGTCAACCGCCGGGATCCCAAGAATATTGAGGAACAATACGTCTGTGAGGTTTTTCACAACAGAGACGGGATAAGAAAGTTGTGCTTCGAATGCAGCCTAAAGAAATTGAAAGTTAAGTTTTATTCTTCATTCATTTCCATTCTTGCATACTAAGGTTAGCACTGTAAGGTAGTATGCCAGAACACTTAATCTATTGTCGTATTGATCTATTGTATATGGCAGAGAGGTGGACAAGGGCAAGAAAAGGGTTAATACTTAATACGGAAGACTATTATTTGGCGAGTAAATTTTCTACAAAATATTTATTTTCTCTCTGATTATTTAAATCCGAAACTGAAGTGTCACTCCATGCAGCCAGGTGTGTTACCTAATTACAACACAACTCTCGAAACAATTGATGCATGCAGTTGTATGTTCTGTGGTCAGAAATGTGAGGGGTGGTCTTTTTCTGCCTTTGTATAAAAACGCATGGGTTTGGTCAGTCTTTGGAGTGTATTTCGAGAAGCAACAGATGGTTCGCTCTAAAAACTTGACAGGTACCTTTGAGAAGATACTATGGGATTCTTGCTGTAGGATAAAATGGCCAGAAACAGGCAGCCATTGCCAGGCAATTTAACATTTATCGGGGAACCGTTAATAAAGTTCTCCAAAGAAATGTTACAACAGGCGAACCTGACCAGGGTGTCCTCGTTTCACAACAAGAAGACAGGATCTCCTTCTCCTTAGACTGGTCGTACAAAGACAACCAGTGTCCTCAGAAGAGAGTGGCAGAATGTCATTCAAATCCCCGTTTCAAGGTCCCTCGTGAACGAGAGATTGTTACAAGTCGGTTATTTTGCACGAAGACCAGTACGGAAACCATTGTCAACAGCAGTTCTATACAACGGCGTCTGCAATGGGCTGGGACCACGTGCGTTTGCAGCCAAACCACTGGAATAATGTCGTTTTCAGTGATGAGGCAAGGTGTGGAGTTTAAAGGGTTGACGGTCGAATCATATCCGTAGGAGACATATAACGATGACTGTGTACTACCTAGGATGCAAGCAGAGGGTGGTGGCGTCTCGGTTTGGGGTGCATTTCATGCCGGTGCCCAGAACCAGTTGGCTTTTCTAGAAGGCAACCTCAACCAGAATTCCTACAGAGAAAAAATGCTTCCCTTTGCAAGACACATCTTTAGGCACAACTTTGTGTACCAAGACGACAATGCATCCTCACATCGAGCTCGAAGAATCACTGCTTTCTTCAAAACAAAGGGATTTAGCAACTGCCCTGGCCTGCAATCTCCCCAGATACGAACCTAATTGAAAATCTGTGGGCTAATGAGTTCTTTGACTGTGTAACATATCGCTGTCCGGAGGCTATCGTGTTCTTTAATATCTTAGCTTAAAGTTAATACTGATATCAAATTATTGATATGGTTTTCTTGGGTGTTCTCTTCTTTTGAATGACATCTTATGTCAAATTTGACATTATTGACCGAAATATCTCAAAATAGAAGACTGGATATATTTTATCACTCAATAACATACTTTTTTGATGAATAAAGCAAAAGAAAATTAATCTGCACTCAAAAATAACAATGATAAAAATATTCCACATTAAGTATTAACTCTGTTAAGTTTTGTATCCCTGTGTTGTGTTTAGTACGAAAAAATGTGAATATGGCTTTTATCTAATATTTTCCCGTTTCGAGACAATTTTTCATCCTTTTGGCCTACCACTTAGCAAAATCTTTTATCCATCAAATGTGTTCTGAAATTAAGATGCAAGAATTAAAACACACACACACACACACACACACACACACACACACTTACCTTATTATACGTGATTTGTGGGACGGACGGCGGCCTTTCGTCTTCAAAATTTCTTTTGGCAGAGGTTTGGTTTATAATCCTGGAAAAGCCATGAGACAATAAATAATTGTTTCGGAAAGAGCACCATCCTTCTGATATTAAATTTAGAAAATGTTTACATCTTTTATGTCAGATTACAATGTGTGGGTTTGGAATAGGAAGATGTTTTTCAAGTCTGCCAAATTGTTCTGCTTATTCCAAGCAATAACAATCGTTAACTGAACTAGCTATTTGTATAGAGAAGCAGATGTCTGTCATTTTTTTAATTGATATTAATTATTGTGTTTGTTTTGACATTTCAAAAATATATGCATAGGCTGGCAGCTGAATAAGATGACATTGGTTTACTTATTGCAAACTTATTGCATAAAAATATTTCGGATGACCAATATTAAAAGTAGACGAAGTTAAAAAGGACGAGCATTATCAACATAATGATAAATCATGATATTTTGTCATTTTCAATTTTAGCATGATTTGTAGATAACAATCAATGGATTCAAATTGTTACTCTTAACGCCACTACTGTATTTTTCATTTTACAATTGCGGCACCATATTTATGACCTAATTATACAAAGTTGATAGCATTCTATTGCGTGCGACACTGCTTAAAATGACCTTGCGTCTGGAACTTTTCTATATACATATGAGTACAAAATGTAGATAATCTAAACTTTTGTCTTTAACCTTATATAGCATCACATCGTCTGGTCTAAAAGAAGCAAGTGATAGGGTTGTAAGGTGGCGGATAAGAATATCAAATGTCCTTTATGATGCCCTACAACTAAGAAATATAGAAAGCACCCCCACAAATAAATACTACCGGGTATTATTAAAATGAGAATATAGTGACTATACCGCACGAGTCGAGGTTACGTCTGTTAGAAAGTATGTTGATGTGATAATATGGTATAACTAAATATAAACTGATTCCTCTTAGCAGGTGTAGTCATGCAAACATTGACCAGCTTTATTTTACACAAGGTTCATTGTTATCCTTGACATTTAATCGGTATCGCTTTCAAACTGAAACATTCCATTTTAAATAACTCGGCATAAATTTCAGAATTATTTTGATTATTTAGATAATTAACATACTTGACATTAATGAAGTTGATGGAATTAAAGTACTTGTGATTATTATATAATTATTTGATAGTATTTTATCAACAAAGCAATATAAATAATATTTATCAGTTTTTAATGCATAGTTTTAGTAATGAATTGAATTTAAATCTTAAGTTTCAAATGCAAAAAGTATTGTGAACAGATTTGGCCATGGTAAGTACAGTCACAAATACCTTATCAGCACTAAATCATTTCCGCTGTCCCAACTCTTTGGTACCCTTCCTGTGAGTGTCACTTCTTTGGTTTCCTTCTCTGTTAGTGAATTGTATGGTGCATAAAACATATCCACAAATTCATTCTCGAGTATGAGATCCCGGAGAAAGGTCGGGCTAAACAAGTTCCGAAGTGGAGTGAAAACTTGCTGGAAATTGACAGCAACCTGCTGGATAACCTGGAAGTTACAATTTTAAACGGACCCAATAAATTCAATCCAGAATTGGTCAATACTTTTGAACAGAACTTTGGGTAAAATCCAGTACAAAATCTGCACTTAACAAATAATGCCTATTTATATTCCACTTACTTCCAATTCAATTTCAAACAAAATTCCAAGTAGACCTAAGTGGCATCTTAACGCTTTCATCATATTCGCATCTGAGTTTTGGTTGAATTCTCTTATATTCCCACGTCCATCAACGAGCTTCACTCGCGTCATGTAGCCACCTATCGATGGTTCGTGGTAGAATCCATTCTAAGAAAACAACAAAATTGAAATACAAAAACACAAACTCAAAATAAATTACTCGCGTAGAACTTCAATCACAGCAATGTTTTCAATTGTCGATTTCACGAGGATTTCACAATAAGTCATTCTTTCAACTGATATGATAATGTCTGAAGAAAGTAAAACGGTTTTGATACAATTTTTTTTATAGCTGATTTGGGTTATTTGGACTCGAATCTCGCCTTTGCAGAATATAGATTTGGAAAACGGGATTCGAATCACACACACACAAGCGCGCGCAAGCGCATTCACACACTTTATGATGTGCACGGTTTGGATCCCAATCTTGAATTAGTTATAAAGAAACAGATTAATTTTAATTAAAACATCGGAGGATACACAGAGCTGAGATAACTGAGATTTATTTTTACATGCAATATTTGTAGCCTTTTGTAAAGAAAATTTGCCTATATTAAGAATTTACGACGTAATATAATAAATGCGTATGGTTAAACCTATCATACATGTGCTGAAGTTGCAACGGCTCCCCCTATCGTCGCTTCTCCAATTAAAGGCCCCGGATGAAAGACAAAACCGTACTTGGCAAGCTCATTGTTCAACTCTGCCTGGGTGACTCCTGCTGTAACTTTCACGGAGGCGACCCTTTTGCCTGCAATCTGTAATAGTCTGCCAATATGATGGAAGATACATCTTCGGTCTTTTAAATACTAATACCAATACTACTACTAGGCCTATTACTACTACTTATTATAATAATTTGAACAATTGAAATTTAAAAAGGCCTATGTATCCTATGTTTGCATCAACAGAGAAACAACACATACCTCGGGCTGCATAATCACTCTCTTTCCTCCTCCTAAGGCCAACTCGGACATATTAATATGGACGCGCCCTCTACCACCGAAAACTTGATCAGCGGTATGTGCACTGCCCACGGCTCGCACTTGTAGCCCACAAGTTGAAGCAGCAGAAACAGTCCTCTGTATCTACAAATAACAATTAAAATCACTGTAACTGCCATTAGAGTTAGATTTTTTGTTCGGAACATACGCTATACTTTAGCATTTTTCTTTATTTTCCAAACAGGTTTAACAAGGAGACGACAATTTTTCAATCTCAAACATCTCTCATTCAAGACGAAAAGCACTCAAAAGCTCAGATTACACTTTAACATTGCGAAAAGGATTAATTGCCACAAATTTTTTCTACATTATTTTGAGTAAAGAATTGTTTGTTTTTACCTCCTCAGCTGTCCTAGGTTTAGTCACGAACACGTGATCATAAGTGACTAAATCTTGCCAGTTAGAGAACGGCTCTAATAGCACCGTTGGCGATGGACCAATAAACTCCTGAAGGCATGTCTGTATCACGAGCAACTGAGAAATCTTCGCAAGATCTAATATGGTTTAATAATAATATCATTTTATGTATCAATTCAAAGTTTTAGATCCATTAAAATAATTAATTGTACTTTACCAGGGTAACTTAATTTATCCAATGTAAAAGCCCTAATATCTTACTAGAAAAAAACCCTGTACAGTTTAACACGTTCAAGTATAATACAAAACACGGAATGTACATGTATCTATAGTTATCATTCTACAGATGCAGTCGTCGCCCATACCTGCACATACGTACATACACATTAAGTTTTGATTTTTTACATTGATGGGGGAGTTTACCTAAAACATTAATATTATTTTATTGCACTTTCAACATTGATCATCGGATAAGGTGTACCAACCTTTTTTGGGAACAGTGTAAGGAATGACTATTTGCTGCGGAGCCTCGTTTTTCATTCGCCTAAAGAGGTCAATGTAGGCTTTTTGCTATTCTCGCGTCTAGCACGTTTGTTCTCCTATGGTAGTTTCGCAGTGAAAAAAATGCATAAAGTGTACCAAATATACACTTGGTGTCAAGGGTAACATCGTGTAAAATCGGATCAGAAAGAAATTAGTAACTTTCAAGAGACCAGGTGTATTTTTCGCGTTTACATTTCTCTGGCCAAAGACACCGCCATTGTTTTATTTGTAAAGCTCAATCATAACGCAGTGCCCGCATTACTGATGCTACGTGTAAGTATGCCAAACTGCAAAGAATATCTGTTGTTAATATATGACAGCAAGGCTTTAAAGCGAATAGCACGAGGTACTCGTACATTTGTACCTTATCACCGAAAGTGGTCTGTCTTTATCTAAACAAAACTGACGGAAATATACCCGACCCATTCCCACAGGCCACATGTTCTGAAAGGCCCCATGGGCAAGCTCATGTACATGGGATCACCCCAGCAGGTTTGTTCATCATACGTTTTTTTCGGTTGTCAGGGTAAATAATGAAAGAAAAACCTTGAAAAACAGGTTTGATCTGGTTTTGAATTGAGTACTCATTCTGCATTATGGAGCCTTCACCCTGCGTTTTGCACTTTTTCACCTGCGACACTAGTCTGCTAGGAGGGAAAGCATTTCGAAGTGTAAGTGTAAGTACTTCGAAGTGTAAGTGAACTGGGAAGAAGGTAAACCACCAGACATAATTAACAAACGACCACTTTTTACGCCTCACTTCAATGCCTCACATTGCACTTGTTCCCCGGATTTGTTCTTGATGACCTTGATAAGGCAGTTCCCTAAAACTAAACACTACAAACTTCAGTTGTCCCAGCACGATTGTCTCCTTTGGTTTCTCTTAGTGCTATCTTAATAACACCTATTACATCACAAAATCTACTTCAATATTTTACAGCTAATCCACCCAATATTTTACCTGGATTAAGCAGCAGGCAGGCATACAGGCAGGAAATCGGCGGGGACACCATCTTCTACAGCCCTTTTTACTATACTGTAGCAGACGCATATATGACCTAACGTAGATCATCGTCTGTACACAAAAACAGAGCGCGACAAAATAATATGCACACCTAAGTTCACCTTATTTTTGGGTTGCGTAATTTCTATGGGGCATGCTCATTTTCTCTATACAGTTGTCATGTATAACTGCTATTGGCCAATTTTAATATGTATATCGTATGCACACGAAAAGGGCGTCACAGTCATTCCTTATTTGCTTACTGTTATTATGTTGGATGTAGTGGCAAGGCGATGACTTTGGTTTCTCTGCCCTTGAAACTTCAGGATAAATAAATTGTTTATAAAATCACACAGTGACAAGAAAATGAAATAAAAAATCGTAATGTGTTTTTTTTTTAATCTATTGGTCCATAACTTGGAGCAAAACGGGCTTCTGACAATGTACACATAATAAAGTGGTATACTCTTATAGTTTTAAAAATAATAAATTCCATTTAAAGCACTGTGTAATGTATCTTTTAGTATGCAGTAGATTCAAAGTTTTGAAATTGAACTGTGTATGGTGCTGTATAGTGTTCATGGGCTGATCCAGGGTTTTTTTTTTTTTGAAAGGGGGGGGGTTAAAGAAGGACAAGCATCGGATGCAAATCTGCCCCTTGCTCCCTTGACGTGGGATTAGGAACCCACTACGGGGCCCCGAAAATTTTTGGTGTTTCGGAGGGCAAACGGTACCATTTGTGAGGCTGTCTCATATTAGCTTAAGTACTTGTTTAAGACAGCGACATATGACCAAATATATATCATGTAATAAAAGATGAAATTCATCCTTTAATGAAAACCTTGTTGTTATGTTTAGCGAAGAACGGTCGGTGACGCCTGGACTTTTACGACGTAAAGTACCCACTTATGACTTGTTTACAAACTCCGTTTTTATGTACAGACACAGTGCCGTCGCCGTGCACTTTTACCGATAACACGACAAGTGGAAACCGTTTTTTCTTTCGGTTTGAAACTTACAGAATTGATGAATATTCATAATACGCAGGTCAAGTTCGAAAATCAGCATGATCGGGTCATTTTTAGGAAAGATATGCTGCTTTTCCACTTTTTTTCAGCATATCAGCAGCACCGATAACACGATAGGTGGAAAACCATATTACTTTTTGGCTTGAAAGTTACAAAACTGATGAATATTCATAATACGCAGGTCAAGTTCGAAAATCAGCATGGTCCGGCCATTTTTAGGGAAGTTATGCTGTTTTTTAAAAATTTTTTTCAGCATATATGCAGCACCGATAACATGATAAGTGGAAAACCATTTTACCTTTTGGCTTGAAACTTACACAACTGATGAACATTCATAATACGCAGGTCAAGTTTGAAAATCAGCATGATCAGGCAATTTTTATGGAAGTTTTCCTTTTTTTTTAATTTTTCAGCATTTTTATAACACCGATAACATGATAAGTGTAAAAATGTTTTTCCTTTTGGATTGAAACTTACAGAACTGATGAATATTCATAATAGGCAGGTCAAGTTCGAAAATTGGCTTGATTGGATTATTTTTACAAAGGTTGTGCTGTTTTTTCCATTATTCAGCATATATGCAACACTGATAACGCATTTTAAGGAAAACCAACAGCCTTTTGTCTTGAAAACTCACAGGAGTGATCAGTCTGACTATATAGTATACAGATCAAGTTTGAAAATAAGCTTGATCAGTTACGTTTTGATGAAGTTATTAGCCTTTTTGTATATGAGTGGTATTTCTTCAGATTTAATTCTTAGGCATATTAACAGTCTCATTATGGAACTAATTAGATATGTAAAAGTGTTGTTTTCACATTTTCTGCTTCTTAACAATATTGTTAGTTGATTATATACAAATAATAAATAAAATATCAAAAATAGAAAGGAACTAATATCTCTGCAGTTCGTCAGATTCAATCATTCACTAAGTTAAGAATCTCAGAATGGTGCAAGTTCGACATTTAAATTTGATATTTTTCCTTTGACAACATATTTTTAATTGATCATATAAAAATGACAGTAAATCGATTATTTTGTTTTATGTAAAAAAAAAAGGTGTTGAAAATGGAAATAAACTCTTTTTAATACAGTTTTCTCTTGTTTAGGTTTTGGAATTTTCACAGTGTGACTCTGAACTCTATGGGCTAGTCACATTTTCTGAATATCCATGATAGTTTTATTTTATCATTAAAAAACATTAAAAAACTGGTTATTATGCTGCTAAGCATTGTGTAATATTGCATCAAAATTGAACAAAACCCTATTTTGGGCACTGCCTCCGTAGTGACCATGAAAGGAAAACCATGTCACTTGCTCTTTTCACATTTAAAGGAAAGAAACATAGGACTGAAATACAGCTTCAGTTGGAAAATCTGTCTCATTAGTTAATTTTCTGGAAGTTATAGAGTTTTTTGTAAAAAAATGTATCTTTCACATACTGGAATTTTCAATGTGGGACTTAGAGCTCCTATTTGCATGAAGCCCAGTGGTAATAAAATTTTCTTAGTGTCCATGTTTTTAATAGTAGATATTTAAAAATTGGTGGTATTTATACAGTTTTAACTTCATTAAAATTATTATGTAATGTTGCATCAAAATTGACAAAATACCTACTTTGTGCACTGCCACCATTAATGTTATGGAAAGAAAACTGTTACTTTCTATTTTTTCAACTAGTCTTACAAGACTGATTCTTAGGATTGACATATAGCTCATATTAGATAACCAGCTCTATTGGATTATCATTTTTATTAAATTTATGCATTTTTTGTGAAATTTTCATTTTTCTCATTCTGGCACTTTCTAAGTAAAAATTTGAACTCTGATGGGCCTGAAGCCTTTTACTTTTGTCGGTGTTACCTGTTGTGCATAATTAAAATTTGATGTTGACTGTGCATAATGTAATATTGCATCAGAATTGGTAGTCTCCTATTTTGTGCATTATTGTTTTGTGCTTTTATTAAGGTGTGACGTATGGGCCTGAAGACCTTTGAGAGGGTCTGTAAATTTCCCTTCGGTATCACTAGGTTAAGTTCAGGGTTATAAAGGCATTTGCCTAATTAATTGGCCATTAAATGAGATTACATAAAGCACACTTATTGATATTTCAATGTAAACTCCCAAAGGTTAAACTGTCTGCTAGATTAATAATAAGGAAGCACTGATAATTATGCAGGTAAATTTTGTTTAATATTGCAAATAAGTTTTTAATATATATATATATATATATATATATATATATATATATATATATATAAAACTCAAAGATTAAAAGTTTGAATAGCAGCTTCATTGGAATTATATTTACCTCTGCCAAGGAGCAATGTTTTCACCCCTGTTTGTCTGTCATCAACATAACTCAAAAAGTTATGGACCGATTTTGATGAAATTTTCAGGAACTGTCAGAAGTGGGTCAAGGAGGACAATGATTAGTTTTTGGTGGTGGTTCGGATCAATAATCAATCAATAATCGATAATAAAAAAATTGCTGCCCTGGCAGAGGTCTGCACTCTCGGAGTGCTTTTCTAGTTTTGTTATGTTTTCCTTTTTAATTTTTTCTCAAACACTGGCATTTGTGACTTTTAACTCCCACCCAGCAGACAAACGAAATTGATTCACCGTTGAATCAACGTTTATTTTGGTGGATCAACGTTGAATCAACGTAGAATCAATGTCGTTTGCCTGCTGGGCATCCGCCTGAGGCTGTGCACATTTTCTGTATTTCCACATAAGCAGTTGTATTGGTTTTTATGTCTTTAAACATTGTGTAATATTATTTTATACACTGTCATACTTTTTCAATTATTGGGACTTTCATCATGTGAATTTGAACTCTCATGATCCCTTATTGAAGGAGTGGATTGAGACCATCTTCTGGGACTTCCGGAAGACGGTCAGGTTTTTAAGTTTATATTGACCGGTATCTATTTTTTTCTGTTGGAAGACCATCAAAATGGAGGATGGATCAACATATATACATTGGAATACTATCAGAAAATATCTCTGGGTCCGCTCCTGTTATTGACCATGTTACCTGTTGTGCATGATCAAAATTCGGTGTTGACTGACAGTGCTATTATAAGCATTATTTATTATAGCATCAAAATTGACAAAATGGCTTATTTTGCATCTTTATTTTCTGTTCTTTTGTCTGTACATTTGACAGCTTTGCTGTCTTGTTTTAAGACGCTGCCATTCCAAAACGAACTGAATTTACATCAGGTATATACATCTTACAGGCCAAACTTTGTATTATAATTGATATTACATAGAAAACACCATGCAACGGTTTAAATTTAGAAAGTGTGTGCACCAGTGTCCGTTCAAATCACATTTAATCTACATGTTTGGATAAATAATATTTGTAAAGTGTAGGGCCTACTTAAGAATCTTTGGCCAGGCTGGAGGCTGGATGACACTGGTCAGATATATATATATATATATATATATATATATATATATATATATATATATATATATAATTTCGCTGGTTTCTACAGCAAAACAGGTCGGGCTTCTATCAAATATAAAGCTCGTACATGGATGACAACAGCAAATGTACATGTATCGCAAATGACTACACAAATGTGTGCTTTGTTTTAGTATGCTTGATAACTTATGGGTACATTTGTGTGATTTTCAGGAATTGATAACTTCGCGGATTTTACTCACTGACATGTCCGTCGTTCATTTAAGTCAAGGCTTGTTAATATTAAATAATTCTCTCAAGAAAACATTAGTGAAAACCCCGTACTGGTCAAGTTCTCTTCGGACGGATTTAAACTTATCCAAGTTGTCGCCGTAACTGGATCTCAGGCGTTCCTTTAAGGATGGAAATACGTGAAGTCCTTTTCCCCAATGAGGTCGCCCGTACTGACCAAGCTTATCCCATTCCGTCACAAGCTGAAAAATCGTATGCCTAGAGCACAATTAACATTGATTATCACCCAACAAATATAATATACACATAAACAGCGACCATTAACACAATAATGTATTCCTAAAAGCGCTACAAATATCAGTAAAAAAAGTGTTCAACAATTACATATATGTGGTTTTTACCCACTTTTAGATTGCACGTTTGTTAAGATATCTTATGTGGAGATGAAGTCGCATTTTATCCTATGAAGTCGATTTGTAAAATCAGAGCATTTATCCCATGAAGTGGTAATATACACGTTGCTTCTCAACTATTGCATCGAGAACTGGACTGCTTTGACACATTCCTGTTGGTACTAACACGTGGTCAAAGTTTTGACGATCTGGGTCAGGTCAAAGGAAAAGAATAAAGACAAACTTTTAATTTTGATTCAAAAGTCAGCAAAATGGGGCGGTGACGCAATGTATTTTATGTAAATAAACGAAGACCAAGGTATTTAACTAGAATATCTTTTTTTTAAATATCTTTCTATTTTTGTCACACCCTCTCTTGTTCAGTGTAATATTTGCCATTGTGAGAGCCCAAGTTCAACTGCTTTTGCTTTATACGAATTAGCATCGAATGGTATCTCCTAATACCGCCCGTGTTTGCCCACCAACATTTATTAACTTTACTTTTTTCATGTGTTATGTATCTAACTCTATTTGAGAAAATCCTAGAACCAATATTAAATCTGCATATTTATGCCCGGCTTCTAAACTTTTGAATGACAAATTGCTAGTGCCTGCGACAGAAATAAGGATAGAAAATAATTTTTTTCACTCTTTGAAAACGACATCTTAAAAATGGCAAATATGAAGAAACTAAACAGGAATAACGTTTAATCTAAATGAAATATATCACAAATCAAAACGACTTAGTTATACTGAGATGTGTGGCTATCTGCGTACCAGTATGTATCTATGAGAAAGAAGTATATGCATGGGGATCCTTATGCATATACAAAACCGAAATTATTCACTTTGCTTCGTTTCGATTCAGTTTGCTCAATATCCAACTATTAAAAATTATTGCTTTATTAACGCGTCTAGCATGACTACAAGACACGGAGCAATACATACCGCTGTTCCGAATGCTTGAAACTGCATTATTTCCATTGTAGAGGTTGGTTGACTGTGGCTGTGAAAAGACACATAATGTTCAAACTCGTCAGGCTTCCCATTTTTACCACGAAATCGTGACTTCGAGGCTGGACAGAGGAAACAGTCTGCGCCTTTAAACCATCTGAAGAGTCCTTCCTGCATTGGCTGTATACCCTTCAGGTAGGAAACTCTATTCAGCAACAGCGACAACGCCTGAAGATAGAGAAGAGTTTTCGACAAAGATTCGTTTACTGTTGATTCAAGCATGTCTAAGAGGGTGTGCTTTCGGTGCCCTCTCCCAACCTATTGACACTTATGTCCATATCAAACTTATTTTTGAAAGATTGGTGTGACGTACTAATCTTGCAGCATGCTGAAGGGTTAGGTCTTCATACAGAGCGATCACTACAGTAAGTGGCCGAATCAGCGCACGCCCTTTCAAAAACGCTGCAGACCACTCATATTTTTATCTGGGTAAGCAAGAATGCACATATTCTTAATGCACTATTCAAAATTCGTTTTTCTCAAAAGTCTTAGGTAAGATTTTATCGTTGATAAAGCAAAATAGTGCCTTTGTTAAATATTTTATTATGGTCAATGTTATTGAAATACTGTATATCTAACCTGCATTGCTGCTGCTCCGTTGGTGAAATTCGGATCAACCGTCACATACTCCATACTGTCAACCGCCGGGATCCCAAGAATATTGAGGAACAATACGTCTGTGAGGTTTTTCACAACAGAGACGGGATAAGAAAGCTGTACTTCGAATGCAACCTAATGAAATCGAAAGTGAGGTTTTATTCTTCAATCGTTCCCTGTTTTGGCACACTAGGTTTAGTAATGTCAGGCAGTAAACCAGAACGCTTGATCAATTATATTTCAATCTCATATGTAATATTTTTTTTAGCGATTTAATACATACCATCGACGAATCACATTTGCAAGCATAGAAGATTTGGTGAATAGCGATAACATTAGGTATTTCAATGTGGTGCCAATATGCAATATAGTTTATATTATCGATTTCGATATATTTTAGTATTCGACCTCTGTAAAAAGAGAATATAAAATATCTACAAACGAAATATAAAATATTTAGCACACTGACAGTGACACAAACCTAGTAGCATTTTCTATATGTTAAGTGAATATTATTTCAAATTTGAAAGAAAAAGAAAAAAAAATTCACTTTATGACATTGCATTGTAAAATGTTACATCAAGCACATGATAGGTATGATGTAGCCAGTCCAGGGGGGAAGGGAACAAAGAACAGGTGTCCCTTCTTGCGTGCTTCCCTGGATATCCTCTCCTTTGCTCGGTCCACAAACGAAAAGATACCAAGGCGTTTAAGCTTTGCGTCTATGTGTCCTGTATAGTACGATAAAAATTGTCAAAATCTCTTTTATTTAATATTTTCCCGTTTCGAGACAATTATCTTCCTTTTGACCCACTCCTCCCTCAGCGAAATTTTGGATTAATAAAATGTGTTATGATATTAAAATCCAACACTCAAACGAATAAATACCTTATTATACGTGATTTTTGGGACGGACGGAGGCCTTTCGTCTTCAAAATTTCTTTTGGCCGAGATTTGGTTTATAATCCTAGAAAAGTCATGAGACAATATTTGTTTGGGAAAGGACACAGTGATAAAGACCATAAAATTTATAATAAGCAAATGCTAATTACTTGTTTTATGTTACAATGTGTGGGTTTGGGGCAGGAGAATATTTTTCAAGTCTGTCAAACTAATATTTTTTGCTAATCCCTAGCAATTTCAGTCTTTAACAGAACTAGCTACACACGTACATGCCTTCGTTTAGAGACGTAGATGTCTGTAATTTTTATTGATATTATTATTTGTATTATTATATTGAAATTTCAGAAATATGTACATTTAAGCAAAAATCAGTTAATTTTTTTACCTTTTTTACCCGAAAGAATTGGTACAGTGTGTCACTTTTAGACTGAAACCTTCCATTTTAATTATCAAGTGGGCATAAATCACAGCAATATTTAGATAACATGCTTTCCATTGTGTTGGAATTTAAGCACTTGTGAGTATTATTTACTTACCTGATAGTATTTTATTAATGAAGAGAAAGTAATAATAAGTAAATAAATCAAATGAATAATATGAATAAAATGAATTACAATTTCCACACATGTTGAATAAATATCTGAAGTTTTAAATGTAAAAAGTGCTGTGAAAAGGTTTGGCTATGGAAAAATGCAGTCACAGATACCTTATCAGCACTAAATCATTTCCGCTGTCCCAACTCCTTGGTACTGTGCCAGTGTGTGTCACTTCTTTGGCTTCCTCCTCCGTAAGTGAATTGTAAGGTACGTAAAACATATTCACAAAGTCATTCTCGAGTATGAGATCCCGGAGAACGGTCGGGCTAAACAAGTTCCGAAGTGGAGTGAAGACGTGCTGGAAATTGACAACCACCTGCTGGATAACCTGAAAGTTAAATTTAAAACACGGACCTAAAATAAATTCGATCCAGTATTTGTCAAACTTTTGGACCAAAAGCTCGGTCAAATCCAATACAAAAATAACACTAACAAATAATGTCTATTCATCTTTTCACTTACTTCTAATTCAATTTCAAACAAAATGCCAAGCAGTCCTAAGTGGCATCTTAACGCTTTCAACACATCTGCATCCGAGTTTTGGTTGAATTCTCTTATATCCCCACGCCCATCAACGAGCTTCACTCGTGTCATGTAGCCACCTATCGACGGTTCATGGTAGAATCCACTCTAAGAAAGCAACAAAAATTGTAATACAAAAACGTACGAACTCAAAATATATTACTCGTGTTCAACTTCAAACTCAGGCAGATTTGCAACCCGCGAAGACGCGTTTTTAATCTTGATTGCGATACACTCACACTCACCCCCCCCTCTCTGTCTCTCATACACAAACACACACACACACACACACGCACTAACCCATGCGTGGTTTGGATCCCAAATTTTAATTAGGTATAAAGATACAGTTGAATCTTAATACATGACAGGACACGGGATTAACAGAGATGCATTTTACATGTAACATTTGCATGTAAAAAACTGCCTACTTTAAGAATTTACGACATAATACACCTAAGAATTAATGCTTAATTGCAAACATATCATACATGTGCTGAAGTTGCAATAGCTCCCCCTATCGTCACTTCTCCAATGAGTGGCCCCAGATGAAACACATGGCCATGCTTGGCAATCTCATTGTTCAATTCTGCCAGGGTGACTCCTGCTGCAACTTTCACGGAGGCGACCTTTTTGCCTGCAATCTGTAATAGTCTGTCAATATGATGGAAGATGCACTTTTGGTTCTTTATATAATAATAATAATAATAATAATAATAATAAATAGGCCTACTGAAATTCATCGCAACAATAGAAAAGAAAACACGCACCTCGGGCTGCATGATCACTCTCTTTCCTCCTTCTAAGGTCAACTCGGACATATTAATATGGACATGGCCTCTACCACCCCAAACTTGATCAGCGGTATGTGCATTGCCCACGGCTCGCACTTGAATCCCACAAGTTGCAGCAGCAGAAACAGTTCTCTGTATCTGCAGATAACAATTATATTCACTGTAACTGCTACTATATTTGGATATTTAAGATATTTTTTGTTCGGAAAATAAGCAGCCGATTGAACAATTTTCTTTATTTTTAAATAAGGTTAAACAGGAAGCCGACAGTTTTGCAATCTCAAACTCTCAATGAAAACGAAAAAGAAAACGGCCAGTTAATGCCTTGAGATTGTGAAAATAGTGATTTCCTAAAGAAATTTTCCACATAATTTTGAGTAAAGAACTCCTTCTCTTTACCTCCTCAGCTGTCCTCGGTTTAGTCACGAACACGTGATCATAAATGGCTGACCCTTCCCAGTTAGAGAATGACTCTAGCTGGACAGTTGGCGCTGGACCAATAAACTCCTGAAGGCATTTCTGTATCTCAAGCAACTGAGGAGTCGTTGCAATATCTGATATAATAATAATAATAATAATAATAATAATAATAATAATAAAATATTATGCATTATTTCAAGTCTATATTCATTAAAATATCCAGTGCACTTTACAAGGGTACTTTAATAAATGTATCCAATGTAAAAAGCCTAAATATTCAATTAGAAAAAAAAAAGTAAAATTTTACATGCAAAATACACAATACGAAGATTGTTTTAGTAATCATTCTACAGATGCAATGGTTGTCCATTAATGGCGATACATATATTTTAAAATCTGATTTTTAAATCGATAGGGGAATTTACTTTACATATAAATAGTATTTCTTATTGCACCCCCACATTGGTTCTCCAATAAAGGTGTACCGACCTTTTTTAGGAACAGTGTAAGTAATGTGTTTTGCTGAGGACCCCCATTTTTCTTTCCTTTTAAGAGGTCAATGTGTTTTTTGCTATTCTCACGCCCATCACGTTTGTTCTCGTAAAGTGGTTTTGCAGTGAAGCAATAGATAAAGTTTACCAAAAATAACACTTGGTGTCAAAGGTAAAATCGGATTAGAACGGAATAAGTAACTTTCAAGGGACCAGGTGCATTTTTCGCGTTTACGTTTCTATGGCCAAAGACACATCCATTGTTCTACTTAAAGAGCTCAATCATAACGCAGTGCCCGCATTACTGATGCTACGTGTAAATATGCCAAACTGTAGAATGGCTGTAGAACGTCGCTATACCACCAGCAAAAGATACTCGTACCTTAGTACCTTAACGCCCAAAGCGATCTGTCTTTATCCAAACCAAACTTACGGATATACACCCGAACCTTTACAACTCTCTGGGAGTCTTTGGACATTCAATAATTCTAAATGCTCGACATAGCACCTTGTTGTTTTCTTGATAACCTTGTTAAGGCAGTCCCCGGTACTAAGCTAAAACTTTCTGGTTTTACCAAGTTCTATATAAATGACACCTACCACATAACAAAATCTACTTCCTTATATTAAAGCCACTTATTTACCTGGGTTAAACAGCAGACAGGCGTACAGACAGGAAATTGGCGGGGACACCATTTTCTTTTGTACTGTAGCAGACGCATATATGACCTATCATAGATCATCGTCTGTACAAAGCAGAGCGTGACAAAATAATATGCACACCTAAGTTCGCCTTGTTTTTGTTGCGCAAATTTCTATGGGGCATGAACTTTTCCTCTTTGAACAGTTTTATTTTCTTTTATCTGCTTATTTAAATATCTACATGTATATAGTATGCACCGAAAAGATCATCACAATCACGCCTTCACGCCTACTATGTTATAATGTTGGATGTAGTGGCAAGACGAAGTACATGAATCATCAGGCCCGTAGCCGGGGGGTCGGGGAGTTGGAAAGAACCGCCCCTTTTGCTGGGAAAAGGTCCACTCTGGATAAAATTTTATCTAGGTACATGAAGTTCGCATGGGAAAAGGTCCACTTTTTCAGAAAAAGAAACCCCCTTTTGAAATTGCTGGCTACGGGCCTGATGAATTTGGTTTCTCTGCATATTGGAGCCATTGAGACTTCAAGACAAAATAACATAAGAAGTGTTAATGTATTTATTTCTTTATTTTTTAGTGCATAACTTGTAACAAAAAGAGCTACTGATAATGTAAAATAATAATAATATAAAATTAAAGCGGTATACAGGGTACCTATATACTCCAAAAAATTATATATTCCATAGCAATGTACAGTGTATGTATGTATCTTTAAGTATGCAGTAATGCAGTTTTGAAATCGAACTGAAAATGTTGCCGTCGTGTATGGTATATTTTTTCAATTATTCCCTCCTCACCACAGCTGGGATTTCTCCAATAATTGCACCCCGCTCTTTTGAAAGTGTCGGAAAGAGTCATTTTTTGTTTTCATTTATTCTCTTTTATTGTCTGTTCCACCTACTAAGGTAGATAGAATTCTTTGTTACATGGTTTGCTGATTTATGATGACGCCACAAATGGGTGTTTTGTTCAAGTGTTCTTGATAGCCTATCATACATGTACATGTATATAGGTACGTCTGTGTGGTTTTCAGGGGTTGATGACTTCGCATATTTTACTCATTGAAATGTCAGTCAGCCATTTAAATCAAGGTACGTTAATATCAAATAATTCTCCCAAGAAAACGTTGGTGAAAACCCCGTATGGGTCAAGTTCTCTTCGGACGGTTTTAAACTTATCCAAATTGTCGCCGTAACTGGACCTCAGGCGTTCCTTTAAGGCTGGGAACACGTGAAGGCCTTTTCCCCAGTGAGGTCGCCCGTGCTGACCAAGCTTATCCCATTCCGTCACAAGCTGAAAAAATCGTTTTCATTTACACACTTATATAGATACAACTACAATTGACAATAACTATCGCCAGAAAAAAAGTGCTTAAATTTTTATAACAATAAAGTTTCCCTTTTTAATTATGATAATTATTTGCAACTAAAATAGTTGGATTATACAGTTGTAGGATCCTTTTTAAATTCACTAAATAAAACGAGATTAATAAAATAGTTAATAAAAGTGTTTAGATGAAATGAAACATTTGATACTCCGCGGCTTTTTAAAATTACATTTGGAGTCATTAAAGAACAAATATCTTTAATAATGGTATCAATACATACCGCTGTTTCAAATGCATGAACCTGCATCAAATTCGCTGTCGGTGGATTATGAATGTGAAAGGCTCCGTAATGATCGATCTCTCCAGCCTTCCCATGTTCCCCACGATCCCGAAACTTCGACCCTGGACAGAGGAAACAGTCTACGCCTCCAAACCATCTGAACAGTCCCTCCTGCACTGGCTGTATACCCTTCAGGTGGGACGCTCTGTTCAGCACAGACGACATGACCTGAAAATAAAGAAGAGCTTACACCTTGGATACAAATACGATCTTTTGATGAGCGTATGGAGTGTGTCAGATTTATTTTGATTTTCAAACGGCAAGGAACTTCACACATAAGAATGATACATAAGGTTTACAACACTGAAACACAAGAAGGGTTAATAAGTTGTTTTTTTTACAGAATATTGTTTGTTGAAATTCCGTTTTACAAACCTTTAAAATTTTTGCCCCACTGGTGAAATCTGGATCTGGGATCACGTACTCCATACTGTCAACTTCAGGGACTCCAGCAAGAGAAATGTACAATGTTTGGCTGATGTTCTGTAGAACGGAAGTTGGGAATGAAAGCTCGACAATGAAGGCATCCTGGTGTAAATGAGAGTAAAAAGTTATCATGCTTTCATTTTCATTTTTTTTGTAAATTATGATACCCCTTGTGCTGTTCCTGATAATCAGCCCGACATTGAAGTAATCTGAACACAATTAATCGTTAGAAGTTGGAGGCACTACCAGTTATTAAAAAACATAGGTAATATATTTATCGTTGGATATCAAACTCGATATGACAACGTTACAAAGTGTAATGTGCATTGTAGAAACATACGTGCGCGCATGTATGACGTCTCACGCACTCACATAGTTGCGCCGACGGACAACTAACAACGTAAACAACAACGACAACATACACGCAATTTGGTAATGTATGTATCGGTAACGCAGTGGTGGAATTAGAGGGGGACCATTCTTGGGATTCTGAAAAATATATTGCACCAATATTCCCTCTTGATATTAGAATTTTGTCTAAGTAATTTATAATTCTAAACCGTACAAAAGGGCACTGTTTACTCTCCAGAACACCAAAAGATTTTCGGGGTCCTTCAGCAGGCCCCGAACCCCACACCAATGGGGCGATGGGACTTCGCATCAGAGGCCTGTCGTTCCGGACCCCCCTTCATATAATCCTAGATCCGCCCCTGCCTTGTCGACTTAGGTAAATATGTTAACTTTTCCGGGACTATATTTATTTTAATATAAAGATTTAACGCTTATTATGTGGATCTAAACAACAATACCTGACTGGGCGAGACAACGGTGACGTTTGGGACGGACACGGGCCTTTCGTCTTTAAAACTTCGCTTTACAGATATTGGGTTCATAAGCCTGAAAGAATAGACATTGTTTTTAAAATAACGCCATCTTTTTTCATTAACCCACTTTGTAACGAACAACAGAATAGAGCAGCTATATTACACAAGAAGAGGTTGCACCTGGTACATCATGTATGTCGATGTGCCATACGAAAAAACCGGGTATACTTTGATGTCTTAGGCCCCTATTTCACACAGACCACGAATCCCACGAATGGCCGTGAATTGACAAATTTCAAGATTCGTGGTTAAATCGTAATCAGTTCGTGAAGTTCTCAACAGATTCGTATATATTCGTAGTCAGTTCTTGCACTTCTTGACCAACAGGAATTAGTGGCAAAAACTTTGATGCCTCTATTTCACACAGACCACGAATCCCACGAATCGACAGGAATTGAAAATTTCAGGATTCGTGGTTAAATCGTAATCAGTTCGTGAAGTTCATAACAGATTCGTATATGATCGTAGTCAGTTCTTGCAATTCTTGATCAATCGTGAATTCGTGGCAAAAATTCTGAGCTGTTCCAAATTTTGGGCCACGAACTCCCGATTCCAAAAAATCGTAATGAATGTCTGGAAAATATTCGTGCAATTTCAGCCGAATCCCACGAATATTCGTAACACTATCGCACCTGTATCGTACTGAATCGTAGAGCGTGTCGAATTAGACCAGAAAATTTAAAAAATCTCACGAATCCTCACGAATCCTGATATTTGTCAATTCCTGGCGATTCGTGGGATTCGTGGGATTCGTGAAATAGGGGCATTATGCCCCTATTTCACACAGATCACGAATCCCACGAATCTCCAGGAATTGTCAAATTTCAGGATTCGTGGTTGAATCGTAATCAGTTCGTGAAGTTCTTAACAGATTCGTATATATTCGTAGTCGGTTCTTGCAATTCTTGATCAATCACGAACTGATTACGATTCAACCACGAATCATGAAATTTGTCAATTTCTGGTGATTCGTGGGATTCATGGTCTGTGTGAAATAGGGGCATTAACCTGGTTAGTCAAGCATATCACCATGTCGCTTAATCATGCAAGATTTCAGGCAACCTTTGGTATTTTTGTTGCAAGACCAATCAATTAGCTAAATAGTTAGCTAACTGACTACCAAACTAACTGACTATCTTAAAATATTTTAAAGCATCCTGATGTAAATGAGAAAAAAAATTATCATACTTTAATTCCATTTTTTCATTTTAAAAATGAAAAAAAAATTTTTGTCATTTTTTAAAGCTTAATCTCACTTTTATGATATTCTAAATAAATACAAATAGGCAAACGTTGTCACCGTTACCTTATCAGCACTAAATCGTTTCCGCTGTCCCAACTCTTTGGCACTCTTCCAGTACGTATCACTGCTTTGGCTTCCTCCTCCGTAAGTGAATTGTATGGCGCATAAAACACATTCACAAAGTAATTCTCTGCGACGAAATCTCGGATAAAAGTTGGGCTAAACAAGTTCCGCAGTGGAGTGAAGACGTTTTGGAAATTGACTTCCACCTGATGGGCAATCTAAAAAGTTAAATTTTGAAACTAAGAGTTTATATGACAGAGCGATCGCCATTGATGGTCAGAAACTAGGCTTACCTATACAAATCAATGGGAACCGTACCCTACATTACGGGAGACTCTGTCGCACTGGTTTATCAAAAAAAAAAAAAAAAAAAAAAAAAAAAAAAAATTCAGCCCGGTAATTGGTCTAAAAACTTTTATACTAAAAATTGGTTCCCCTAAGTATACGACTTACCCATATTTCTCCACATAACTAAAATAAGCATTGTTCTGATACTTTGCACATAAGCAATGCCACGCCTGCCAAATCCAAATGTAATATTTCATTAGATGGATAAATGTCATGTGTGAAACTGTCCCCAACTCTTGCCATGTTTATAACGAAACCCAACAGATTGTAACTTTATTTTTATTTCAAATAATATACTGGTACTTTTTAACCAACCCAACTGTAGTGTATTTAGTAGATGCCCGTATCCCTTACTCCATTCATTCTTACCTGTATATCATACTGTTTTCATGTCTGTTTACGGGAAGCACGTTTACAGTATTCTTTTTAGAAAAGGGTTATTTTTGTTCTTTCTTTTCTTGAGAAAGAAGGAAAATCACACTGTAAGACAGTTTTCTTATTTTTACTTACTTTCAATTCAATTTCGAACAAGATTCCAAGCAGTCCTAAGTTGCATTTTAAGGCGTTCAGTACATTTGCATCTGAGCTTTCCCTGAATTCTCTTACATTCCCTCGTCCGTCTACCAGCCTCGTTCTCGTCATGTAGCCACCTACCGACGGTTCATTGTAAAATCCGCCCTAGGCAAAGAGATAAATGAATAATGAAAGCGATTATGAAAATAATGATGTTAACGATTGTAATATTGATAAATAAATGATATACATGTAAGATAAAAAGTATTCCAGCAACGACAATACTGAGCACCTGTGACAGGAATTGGAGTGTGCAATGCAGAGGAGAACCAACCCCTAATAATCTGGACCAACTCCCCCAAGCTCTTTAGGAGAATTGAGACAGTATCCCACAAGACAGAATTGTTACCCTTGTTGAAGGCTTGTCGCGCCGCCTACAGGAGATAATTGCAGCACGTAGTTGGCACATACGATATTATACACGTGACCTTTAACAAGCACACCCTAATGCTAATTGAGTGTAAGTTTTGTGACAATCGGTGGTGTCTTTAAAATTTTATGGACATTTCCGTATCTTTGTGGGAATCACAGTGAGACATTGGGTTTGAGGGGGTACGTGTTATAAATACGAATAAATGGCGTAAAACACGGATATCGTCACCACTATTTTGTATTTTCTGAACCATTAATCATGTTAGATAGTACTGAGATAAAAAGGACTGGGAGGTGATCATTTGTAAATAAAAGCACAAGGAATTGGAGGTTAGACAACCCTTTTGACCAATGTTGTATGTACGCGAATAAATGCAGGTATAATATTCGTCTGTAACCTTCAACAACTTATATTTGCATGTAAAGAAAACATACCAGTTTAAAGAATTCATGACTTGATTAACAAATACGTAGTGAAAATGTTTCATACATGCGATGAAGTTGCAATAACTCCTCCTATTGTCACTTCTCCAATAAACGGCCCCGGATGAAAGACATAGCCATGCTTCGCGAGCTCGTGGTTCAACTCTGCCTGGGTGACGCCTGCTGCAACTTTCACGGAAGCGGCAGTTTTGCCTGCAATCTGCAAATTTACATATTATTCTTGATTGCTAAATTCACCGTGTATACTAAAAGACAGTTATCCCAGGGGATGGATCCAGGGTTTTGCTAATGGTGGGAGATGCTGTTTGGTGTTGTGGAAAAGGGTGAATGAATGCACAAAGTAGTCGAGAACAATTTTACTGTTATATTCAGGGTAACGGGATTGAAGAGATGGTTATTTCGTCTCGTTTTACTTGTTATGCCTTTTTTTGGAAGGGGGGAGGGGGTCCTCCGAGGCTTAGAGGGTGTGACGTAGTCAACTATAAACCCTTAGGCTTATAATAATAATAATAATAATAATAATAATAATAATAATAATAATAATAATAATAATGACAGTTTTCTTTAGAATATAGATTGGAATATATAATATACATAACTGCAAAAGACAGCACGCACCTCGGGCTGAACAATCATTCGCTTTCCTCCTTCTAAGGTCAACTCGGATGTTCTTATATGGACATGTCCTCGACCAACCCAAAGTGGATCAGCGGTATGTGCGCTGCCCGCGGCGCTCACTTGTATCCCGCAAGTTACAGCAGCCCAGACAGTTCTCTGTATCTTTAAATAAAAATGCAGTTCACTTAAATAACCATGTTATTTAAGATGTAAAAATGCCCAAAAGATTTATTTTTTTGCTCGAAAACAAAGCAGATAATGATCGATTTAGGCTTTTCTTTCTTCTTAAAAACACGTTCATCAATTATGCAATTAAAACCGATTAAGAGTAAATTTCAACGTGTGATGTCATATAAGATTGTGAAAAACGTAATTCGTAAACATCAAACTTTAAACTAAAATTGCTTTGCTGTACCTCCTCAGCTGACTTTGGTTTCGTCACGAACACGTGATCATAAGTGACGAGTTTTTGCCAATTAGAGAACGACTCTAGTAGGACCGTTGGCGATGGACCAATAAACTTTTGCAGGCAGCTCTGTATTATCAAGAACTGTGGCAGCGTCGCAAGATCTATTATACAGTAATATAATAATATAATATTATATATGTATTTAAAGTCTAAGATCCATTAAAATAATTTCACAAGAGTAACTTAATAAATTTTCAGAATGTAAAAAGCCCATGTATTCTATCAGAGAAAAAAAAGCATTCTATAATTTAACACGTGCGAGTTAAATATACAACAAATATGAATACAATTATGAATATTTACATGAATAGTATTTCTTATTGCACCATTAACATTGGTCCTCGGTCAGAGGTGTACCAACCTTTTTTGGGAACAGTGTAAGTAATGATTCCTTTCAGCGTGACCCTGTTTTTCATTCGCTTCAAGAGGTCAGTGAACTTTTTGCTATTCTCGCGCCTAGCAAGTTTGTTCTCATAAGGTTGTTTCGCAGTGCATAAACAGATAAAGTTCACCAAAGATAACACTCGGTGTCAAAGGTGAAATCGGATCAGAAAGGTTAAATGACCTGGTGCATTTTTCGCATTTACATTCTTTTTCCTCACAGACACCTCCTTTGATCTACTTATAAGAGCTCAATCATAACGCAGTTATTACTGATACTACATGTTAGTGTACCAAACTGCGAAGAATATCTACCGTAAGCACACAGTTACTATATGACAACAATGGCTGTAGAACGAGGTACTCGTACATTTGTACCTTATCGCCAACAGCGGTCATTCTTTTTATCAAAACCAAACATATACAGCCGAGGTCACACGCTAACTCAGTGGCCCCCCTTGTACATATGATCACTGAGCGGGTTTGTTCATCATACGTTTTCTGGTTGTCGGGGAAATGATGAGTCCTCTTTAGCCATCTGAATTTAAGTTGCCCTTTTTTGCATTACGGAGACCCTATCCCATGTTTTGTACATTTTCACCTGGCCCATAAACCTCATAGCTATCTTACTGCTGCTTAATAGGGTCAAAGTGAATAAGATATTACACTTATAGTTGCAAAACGTTAGCTACTCTACCAGTAGTATAGGTTGAGTTTTTACCGAACGCTTCTATCTTTATTCAAACTGACGCTTACACCCCCCCCCAAAAGAAAAATAATAATAAAAATAATAAATGAAAAGTTAATTCTGAGCGTGAGCGTGTTAAACATACTAGGAGGTCACATCTTTCTGTTTTTAGTGGAAAACGACGTAAAACTGACAGCTTGAGGACATGCTTGGCCGAGGCCGGTTATGAATTAAGGCATACGACGAAATCCATACGTTTTAAATGTGTTTGTTACCATTATTGACCCTTCACCTCAGCAAGTCTGAATCAGGGTCAGTAAGCATACCGGGCATGTTATGGTCTACAGTGAACTGCGGTATGTAAAAACCAAACGTAAAGGGATAACAACTGTATATTTTGGCTAAAAAATGGGTGATTTTCCCGGAGTAAACGCCAATTTCCCCATACTAACCAATGGTTAATGAATCCATCCCGCCATTTAAAGTAAGTCCCTGCTTTTTTATTTTCAAAAATAAAAAAAATTGTAATAATCTCCTGAGAGATTATTACAGAGGCTGGCCATCTATGGAGGTCACGTGGTCCGAGGGCAAGCACAGATTCCATAATAATAGGGATAACCTCCCTTTCAGTGGCAAAATACATGTAGAAAATTAGTTGTTTACGATGTATTTATTTTGAATGAATTACGGATGTCCTACGAAGAGTTGTTATCCCTTAAACTTTTTACCACATGTTTTGTAGATTTTCAGCTGGGTAATTATCCTGCATGGGTAATGTACGTATTTGCTTATAGCAAAGTCGAACTGGGCTGGGGTGAAACCGATCCATCATCCCTTTCCTTCCGAAGATTCTTCGAAAAAAGTGTTATCAGACTTATGTATAGAAAAAAACACTTGAGGCTTTTTAGACAATAGCTCGCTGTGTGTCTTTGGAAATTCAAAACTGGAAAATGCTCTGAACTACACTTTTATCCTCGGGTTATTCTTTCTTGATGACCATGGTAAGCAAGAAGAGTGCACGTTATACAAACACTCTGAGCAAGAGTGTCTTGCCTGGTTTTATTCATTTTTATCGGAAGAAAATTATTTACATTAAAACTCCCGTTAATTATATTTACGCTAATCCACCCAATATTTTACCTGGATTAAACAGCAGGCAGGCATACAGACAGGATATCGGCGGAGGTACCATCATCGGCAGGCTTTTTTCGTACTATGCATGTACATGTACATGTAGCAGACGCATGTTAGATGACCTCGTACATAATCCTATGTACACAAAACAGAGGGTAACAAAATTTTGTGCACACTTAAAATGCCCTTATTTTTCTCTTATAAAATTTCTGTTAAGCGTGTTCGTTTCCTCTAAGAATAGTTGTCAAATAACTGTTGGTTGGCTGTGCTCGATAACGGAGTTTTGTGCGTTTTTCTGCACGGTTCATTCCATTTCAACAACTAGTGCTTGATGCTGTTAAGAAAATATATGAGGTCATCTATATTTCTGTCTATTCGTTCCTGATCGGACAAAGTTTGTGGTAGGTGTTCCGAGTGGACCTACTTTCGCAAATTAAGAGACAGCCTGTAGGATTTTTGTTGAAACCGAGTACTTGTAGATGCTGTGCTGTTTGACCGAAATGTAGCAATAATACCTTTCATCTACCAGATTTGGACAGTCAGCACTGGCGGTTTATGATTATGAAAAAAGTACCCTTTAATCTATCAGACTATAATTTGAAGCTTTTGTAGTCATGAAGGTTAGAAGGGAGCAGTTTACAATGAAACCATTTGCCTCCAGTTGGAAATGAAAACATTTTGTCTGTTGAGTACGAACTGTAACTGCTAATCAATGTTTATGTAAATACTATTCGACTTACTAGTATATATAAAAGATACTTTTTCTTGTTTTTGGTTTTTTATCCCAAGCGTCCAAATGGACTTTTAATGTGTCCATGTAATATCTCGTCAGTGCTGTAAGATCTGATGTTGTTTTTTTTTCTTTAAAAAATCAGATAAGTTTTTTTAAGCACGAAAAATATATAGCTGCAGTATACATCTGAATAAGTTAAAAAACTCACTAATTTTTATCTCTTTTTATCATGAGTAAGATAACTTAAAAGGCCTCAGAGGACAGGCAATATTTGTGGCTGCTCCAAAGCAAAATAATCGACAGTAAATTATCTTCCAAAAAATTTGAAGAGCAGCAGTTTAACTTGCTTAAGAACTTAATGTTTTTTAAGTCGATGAAGTACGTTTAGTAATATATTTAGTATTAAATATATAGTAGGCGAATTATTGGTTATATATATTAAAATTTTGAATGGATATCAATTATATTCCAGTGACATTTAATTTTTTTTTCAATTTTTGCTAACTTTTATAGTGCAAAAAATCCTGGACATTCTAAGGTGAAATAATTCTTGTAAAACACAAAACGCGCTATTTTGATATATGATTTACTTTCTTTTTCTTGAGGAAAGGATATCTTTATAGTCTGATATCTGCTAAAACAGACAAAAAGATTTCTGATGCAGTGTCTTTATTGAGCATTGGGGGGATTGGGTTGGAACACATGTCCTTGGTAACTGTTAATGAGCGTCATTAAACAAGTGAAGTATCGACAATGTCTTTGTTAATGTGCTTCAGCTTCTTCCTCGGCAGGGGCAGCTTCCTCCTCAGCGTGTTCGGCCTCCTCCTCAACAGGGGCAGCCTCTTCTTCAGCTGGAGCTTCTTCCTCCACAGCTTCCTCCTCTGCGGGGGCGGCTTCCTCTTCTGCAGTCTCTTCCGCGTGGGCAGCTTCCTCCTCTGCGGGAGCTTCTTCTTCAGCAGCTTCCTCCTCTGCCGGAGCTTCTTCTTCTTCAGCAGCTTCCTCCTCTGCGGGAGCTTCTTCTTCAGTAGCTTCTTCCTCTGCGGGAGCTTCTTCTTCAGCAGCTTCCTCTGCAGGAGCTTCTTCTTCTGCAGCTTCCTCCTCTGCGGGGCCAGCTTCCTCTTCTGCGGCCTCTTCCTCTGGGGCAGCTTCTTCTTCCGCATGTGCTTCTTCTTCGGCAGCTTCTTCTTCAGCGGGAGCTTCTTCTTCTGCGGCCTCTTCTTCGGCAGGAGCAGCTTCCTCTTCTGCAGCCTCTTCCTCGGCAGGAGCAGCTTCCTCTTCTGCAGCTTCTTCTTCCGCATGTGCTTCTTCTTCGGTAGCTTCTTCTTCTGCGGCCTCTTCCTCGGCGGGAGCAGCTTCCTCTTCTGCGGCCTCTTCCTCGGCGGGGGCAGCTTCCTCTTCTGCAGCCTCTTCCTCGGCGGGAGCAGCTTCCTCTTCTGCAGCCTCTTCCTCGGCGGGGGCAGCTTCCTCGTCTGCAGCCTCTTCCTCGGCAGGAGCAGCTTCCTCCTCTGTAGCCTCTTCGACCGCTTCCTCTTCTGCTGCATGTTCTTCGGCTGGGGCAGATTCTTCCTCGACAGCTTCCTCTACTGCCTCTTCCTCTTTGGTAGCTACTTCCTTTTCAGGAGCAGACTCTACTTCTGCAGCTTCGTCCTCAGAAGATTCTTCCTTTACCTCATCTGCATCGTCAGATCTTTTTCTTCGTCTCAAAGGAGGTGGTTCTTCATGTGCCGCCTCAGCTGGATCTGCTTCTTCTGCCGGTGCTTCCTCTGCTGCTGCTTCTTCAACAGGTGCTTCCTCAGCTTCCTCCTCGGCGTGTTCTTCCTCCACTGCTGCTTCTTCAGGCGCCTCTTCCTCTGCCGGGGCCTCTTCAGCTGGGGCCTCTTCCTCGGCGTGTTCTTCCTCTGCTGGAGCCTCTTCAGCTGGGGCCTCCTCCGCCTCCTCCTCTTCGGCGTGTTCTTCCTCTACTGCTTCTTCTACCGGAGCCTCTTCCTCTGCTGGGGCCTCTTCAGCTGGGGCTTCTTCCTCGGCGTGCTCCTCTTCTGCAGCTTCTTCTGCCGGAGCCTCTTCCTCTGCAGGTGCCTCTTCAGCAGGAGCTTCTTCCTCGGCGTGCTCTTCCTCTACGGCTTCTTCTGCCGGAGCCTCCTCCTCTGCTGGGGCCTCTTCAGCCGGGGCTTCTTCCTCGGCGTGTTCTTCTTCTGCAGCTTCTTCTGCCGGAGCCTCTTCCTCTGCCGGTGCCTCTTCAGCAGGGGCTTCTTCCTCGGCGTGCTCTTCCTCTGCCGGAGCCTCTTCCTCTGCTGGGGCCTCTTCAGCTGGGGCTTCTTCCTCGGCGTGCTCCTCTTCTGCAGCTTCTTCTGCCGGAGCCTCTTCCTCTGCAGGTGCCTCTTCAGCAGGAGCTTCTTCCTCGGCGTGCTCTTCCTCTACGGCTTCTTCTGCCGGAGCCTCTTCCTCTGCTGGGGCTTCCTCTTTTCCAGCTTCTTCAGCAGGGACTTCGTCTTCTTCTGGGGCCTCTTCCGCAGCTTGTTCTACAGGGGCAGCCTCCTCTTTTACGGCTTCCTCGTGTGAAACTTCTGCTGATTTTGCATCGTCTTCTGAACCCTCGGTGACATCGGGCACTGGTGCAGCTGAAAAAATGATGAAAAAATAATGAATGATAATGAAACAGAAAATATCTGAACTTGATATCAAAAACTGCGTTCAGGACAAAGCCAATACATATTACTGAATCAAAATACATGTGGTCTGTTTTTCATTCCGAACAAATGAGACTCGCTTCACTTTTAAACGCACATTTCAATTATCATACAAGTTATGTACCTGAACAAATTTGATAAAGCAATTGCTAAACAAGGTACATAAATTCTACTTATGGCTCATTTGTAATTGGAAAGACAACGTTTTTTTTTAATGTGGACAAACATACACTTAATTTGTATCTAAAGTTGATCACAGCTTCATAAATGTTAACGAATTGGTCTTAAACAATGTGAAGTCTGGGCTATTTTTGATGTGACTGTTTCATTTACTGCGAAATAAACAACCAGACATGAGTGGTTAAACTATCTCACCATTTAAGTTGTCTGCTGCTTGTAAATTGTTGAAAATTGCTTTACTTAAAACAATTTCTTTTTGTATCACCATACATGTGTGAAACAAAGAAGATTTTAAACCTTAATGTTTTTTGTGTGAATTTAGAATTATCATGAATATGTCACATTTAGTAAACAATATATTCATTAATGCAATTACAACGGCAGTATTTTTTAAATATATAAAACACCCAGCCCTTTCGGATTTGTATAAGGCTGCTTGTTCCACTTTCGAACAATGAGTGGTAAGAAATCGAAACCAGGCGGTCTCTGAGCCAAAAGGTTCTAAGTTAGGTCGACACATTTTATTGGAAACAAGCCTTAAAATGCAATAACCTTTATCTGAGGGTAGCCCTATTCAATGTTCTATATATGAAAACTTTAATATGTCAAAACAGTATGCCTGTTTTGAAAGAGACGCTTTTTAATATACTACCTTCTGAAATTATTTTGGTAAAATTTATAAACACAGTCTTAACCATATAATACCCTATAACATTTTTTGCAATAGGTCCCTACTGAAAAAAAAAACTGTTAAAAAAATTAAGCCTTATAAAACCTTATGAATACACTTGCTGGCGGCCAACATTTCAGATAAAAATCTGTACAAATAACCTTTGTCTGAACTTTGACCCCAAGCCAATCACCTTTGGTGAATAAATAGCTTTTAGTCTGTAAGTCTGGATATATTTCAAGGTCTTATCCCCATTTATTCCAGCGAAAATACTCTCAAAATATAAAGACACCCTTTTCCCATAGTGACTTCCCATATTGGCGGCCATCTTGGAAAAACTGCCTTAAAATCCATTTTCCCCTACTAAGATTTTTTCTAGATTTTGAATAAGTTAAAATTTGGATATTTATCTTTCTAAAGAACATCATTACAATTTTTTGCAATAAGTCCTAGGTAAGGCCATATTTTCGCTCAATTTACTAGTCTAATACGACAAGGACAATTGTACAGTGCATATTGTGTCTTATCAAACCGAAGGGCTGGGTGTTCTAATATATTTAAAAAATACTGCTGTTGTAATTGAATCAATGAATATATTGTTTTTCCACTCATGCGAAATATTTGAACTGTAACGTTGTACTGTTTTTCATTTTTTAAAACCGAATTCTCCACTATTAATAAATATAAAAACGAGGAAGCAAACGAAAATCTTATGAAACGCTTACCTTTACCATAAGGGAAACTCGCAACCAGCACGAAACACAGAATCAACCAGAACTTCATCTTGGAACAAAATGGAATGCTTGAAGCAATTGGAATGAACAAACACAACCCTCAGAGAGAGATCCTTGGCTTGAGCAAACAGCAGAGGATATTTGTGAAGCAGTAGCAGAGAGAGCGGGCCTTTATACCCCAGACCTAGTGAGGGAACGCTACACGTCTCAGGGCGCGATGAAATCCGACCTGCCAATAGAAACTATCCTAGATTGATTTCTAAGCGGCCATCGGTGAATAATTGCAATAAATCTTGTTGTTTTTAGATGTGCTCTTAATTGCCCATTGTCCAAACAACGTTCAAGCGTAATCAGGCGTTGGAGAGGTTCAATGTGGTGGGATATCTGACACTTGAATAGAACAATCAAACTTCTCAAACTTTGAAACGTTTGGTGTGAAAACTTGAATTTTAATTATAAATTGAAATAACATTTTTGAAAGTCATATGTGCTTCTATGAGAAAATGATTAATGAAAACATTTGCTTATTCTGTTTCTTTTTATTCATCCAGGGAAAAGCGATGATTAGCAGTTTGGCCTGGAAATTACAGAATCAGGTAAAGTCATTTTTAAAAAGTCGTTTTTAAAATACATTTGTTTTGTATTCTTACGTATCTTTGGGCTTCAATTCAATTTATACTCGTATTTTTCTTTTCTTTTCTTTTCTTTTCTTTCTTTCTTTCTTTAATAATGTAATGCTCCTTTCAATAAAATGCCCCATGTTAACTTTATCAATGAAATACTACAATTAACGTACTTAACTTCATATCTTTCCGCATATGCTCTCTCTCAACCCTGAAGTTATCTTGGGTACCTCCGGTAATGACAAGGCAATGTGACTTTAAATTATTCACTGACATGATTCTGCTTTGATGGGTGTGGAATGCAGGGTGATATTTACGATAGGCAGGAGCTGTAAGAGCAACCCATGCCTGCTAGTACAAGCTCTTGCGTGTTATTGTGAAAACCACATTTAATAAAATCGGGATCAAATTCGCAAAATGATACTTATTAGAGTGGAAGAGAACTAATCGATCATTGCATGCTAACTGAGCAGAAAAACAATTAAAACTTCTCTCTCTGTCTCTTTCGTTCTCAAATGATCACACTTGTTCAAATGTACGAAAAGCATCGTCAATTCATGGGGTCTAGCATCGTTGATGAAACGGTAAGTATTAGTCTTGGCGCAGGTTATCTTCAGCAATAAAAATGGCGTTTTGATAAAAAATAGAGTTTGTGGACGGGGTAGTTGTTTATCCTGCTGTTCAGATAAGATAACTGCGTGTTATCAAGGCTGTTTTAACTATCAAATGCAGTGTTTTTCACATCACTTACTCATAATAACCTGAGTTTTTTTTAAATTTTGCTGCGCAATTAAGACGCAAAATGTCTTTTTTTAATAATGACAGTATAAGAACGTGGATTAGTTTCCTGTCGAAAGTTAACAGTAAGAATAAAATATGCATCACCGCGGAGTAGTGAAACGAGGATAACAAAGCGAAGGACATGCTTTAATAAAAATAAACAGTGTTTATTTTCTCTTTTCTTGGCTCTAACATTCCAACTAATTGTTGAAGTTATTCTCGAAAAAATGACTATTCAAATGCGCTTGATGTGACTGCATCGTCTATTTAGATGTGGTATACGGTATATTTCATTAACTTGATTGAGGCATTCAAATAAAAAGGTAGCTCGTTGCTTCCTTAATGTGCTGCATAAACAATTATTATCGGCATTATTCAACAATTATAACAATTATTTTTTGCCTGTACTTCCGATAGAATGAATGAGAATTGAAGTGACCTGTAGTAGGCTTACTGGTCGCATAGTATACCATGCATGTTTTGTCGGACAGCAGCCTGTCAAATTCTTACCCGCACTTAAATTTCATTACGTGTAGTTGTATTACTAGTTTAAAAAGTGCATCGCTAATAAAATTTATAAAAACGTTTTTCCTTAAAAATGCATTATAACACTGCTATTAGGGCGGGTCCATTCACTCTAAAACGAATCGGTTATTGACCCTACCGATAAAATCGGTTTACTGGAAATCTGTTACAAACAACGCTGTATTCGGTTATTGATCAACCAGTCGATTGTGACCGTGTGGATCGGCTATTGAATAACTGATCTGAGGACATTTGACAGGAATATCGAAAGACTGTAAAGTAATTCTACAAATTTGTTGAATGTTTATTATTATTATTATTATTATTATTATTATTATTATTATTATTATTATTATTCAGTCGGTCAATGTACCTACCGATCATTAATCAGATACATCCACCGGATTATTAGCTGGACACATATTGAACGTTGAATAGGTTGGTTTCAACCTTTTTTTCAGTTTTTTTTAACTGAAGCGTTTTTAGAGTGTGGGGCTGCGCACCGGTCACGCACCCTTTCTTTGTTTATACGGTACCCCCTGCGCCCTCCAAAAACAGAAACACGAGCGAACTGAGAAAAAATCGAGAAACTTTTCCACCCCTGTGCCTTAAACGTTATAGTAAAATTACTCTGGTTTACCGTTTCATATTTGTGAGGCAAATTCATTATCCGTGTGCCCCCCGCTCCCGATTCTTCAGTGCACTGAAATCGTGTTGCTGCCACTGCATGTTTGAAACCCATCTTAATTTTGACAATTGTGAACGTTTATCACTGTCATGTAAGGAGAAAGTCGGAACTAAATATATATATTTTTTTCAATTTACTGAGAGTCAATGCAGGAACGAATGAGTTTTTACCGGTAGTTGTAAAGATGTAACATAATGTCTTGACCCAAAGAGCAGCATTAAGGGCATTTGCATCGTATGTAAAGTGAAGATTTAAAAAATCTCACAGTTAAAAAATATACTGCAGATTCTACATGTAGTTTTATTTGTAGGTTAACTATGGCTAAATACAACATTTAAACGGATTGGGTATGGCTCACTTACCCACAAAAAGCCACATTATATTGCACTGCCTTAAGAAAGAGGTTAATATAATACAACACTATTTATCCAATAAGAGGCGAATCCAGAGATATTTTCTGACAGTCTTCCAAAGTATCTTTGTTGATCCATCCTCCATTTTTGACTGTCTTCCGACAGAAAAGATTATATACCGTCAATGTTAACTTGAAAATCTGACGTCTTCCGGAGACCCAGATCCATGAAGTCTTAGCATTCGCGCGGGGAGAGTGGATTATCTTAAAATCCATTTCAGTCCGGTATAGGTATATCCTCTGCCAGGACCACAGATTGATTTTTCACCAGATCTGTCTCTGGTTAATTCAAGGCACATTCCTCAACTGTGGAGTGCACTTCATTAATCTACAGTCCTGGTAGTACAGGTACAGATACGCAGTTTTCCACTTACTGCCTCCGGGTGATATTTTGTTATATACATTTATAGTACCGTGCCCCAGGCAATTAATCCCGTGCTCTGATGTTCGTCATAAAAATTAATTTTATTTGTTTAGTGGCAGTAATTGCTAGACCAGTCTGTCATTAATAAGTGATTGCACATATCACAACTTACATTAATTTCGCATATAAGTTCCCATGTATGTCCGTTTGTGTTATTTTCATTGCCGTTTAAGATTTTGACGAATCCAAATCTGTTTGATAATGAAGTGCCGTTGTTCTTGGGCATTTCTCTACAATCAATAGCATGAAATAAATAGGAAAAATCTCTACGAGAACTTTAAAGCTAGCCACCCTGGTTTTCTTCGTCTAAAATTGTATAGAAATCTAGGTTTCAGAGACCTGTGTATTCATAGCAATATTGGTCGGATGCGTTGTATCTTCCATGGGAATCACTGCGTTCTTTAAGCGGCATTTTTTTCTGACCTGGATCACGGTGCGAAAGACGACAGCAAAACCCGTTGAGGACGGTGTTTTTGAGGCTATGAGAATGACGATTAAGCAGATGGTGACCTCTATGCCACGCATTAACGTCTGAAACACCCACCATGGCCAGTTCTGGACGTGAGAGACTTCGCTATAGACGCCGAACACTCCAAAGGCCCCGTATAAATGCACCGTAAAGAGCGCAAGAGCAGTCACGGACGCGGTGACCAACAGCTGGGTCAGCCATGTAACGCTGGTTTTATTGGAGGCGCCTGAAAAGCAAGAAATCAATGTCATGCTACTTCGACGGTGAAAATAAAATAAAATAAAATAAAGTAGGAAAAAAAAAAAGAGGCTGTGCTCTTTTCGAGAACATCGATAGTTTTTTGAAAGGATGTATTCCACGAGGCGCGCAGTTGAAACTGTATCAAAACCTAGCATGTAACTTAGGAAGCAGAACATACTTTAATGTTTGTAAAAATAAATACCTGTTAAAAATAGGAAAGCAAAAAAATAAAAATAAAATAAATAAAAATAATAATAATAATAATAATAATAATAATAATTAAAATTTAAAAAAACATACACAGTAATCTTGTGCAGTAAGAAATTTTAATTTAATTTAATGGAAAAACTTATATTTTTGTTTTTTAATGTCTGCGAAAACAAGAATACAATTTTTAGCATTTATTGAGTAGACATTTTCGTGGTAAACTTAACTGGATCAAAAAAGCGATAAGTAACAAAAGAAATAATATTGTGAGAGGTGCACTGACACAGCCGCTAAAAAAGAACAGCGCAAGCCAAAAATAACTTACTAATAAATACAGTCACTGTGTAAATATCGAACATATTTTTAAACATCATTAGACATGTAAAAATATATACCCGAAGAAGGATCCATGCTAGCTGAAAGATTCTTCCGTATTTTCATAGCTGCGTGTGCATACCCTACAGCTAGAAGGAGGCCCCAGGTGCAGTATATTATTTGACAAATCAAGAGAAGCACTCTGGCCGATACCGTGTAGTAAACTATCACGTCCGAGCAGATCACAAGTACGAAGTGGGCGCCGATGAAGGAGAGGATGACGCTTGGTTTTCGGAACGCCGGGGACGTCGTGGCCGTCTTTTTTGTCGTCTCTAAGAGCACCATAAGGACCAAGGTAAACGCAGCGGTCAGGCAAGGATACCCCACGCTCCACAAGAGACGCACTGCAGCGAAAGGCATCATGGCATAAGCTCCATAAGGATCGGTGTACAGCGCCACTGAGCGGGATAACCCGAAGACCACAAGTAAGGCATTTAGAGTTAAACTCATAATGTTTAATCTGCGCCGCTCTGTAGAAACTATAAATCTGCATCGCGAGGCCAATGAGATGATTTCATTGACTGCAATCAAAGTAAAACAGGCACCGAAGAGAAAAACGTGGATGTACCAAAGCTGGTCAAACTCCTGGAGGGCACTAGGCCAATCTGGGGCTGGTTCCGGCCACACCTCTGGCTCGGCATACCCTATCCCGGACTCCGGGTATGCTGCCTCTGGTTCACTGAACGCTTCACTTGGCTCTGGGTACACTGCCATCCGGTCAGGAAGATCTGCCTCGGCCTGTGGGTACGACAGAACCGTAATGTTTCGCGTTTCGCGCATGTTAAAACAGCTGCGCCACAAAGCGCTAGCTCTCCCCTTTTAACTGGATTAATTTTATCGTCAACCTTCTAGATAAATGAAGTATTCTCGTTGTGCAATTGTATATAGCAAGGATGCACAGTAAAACGCCAAATAGTACAATGTAAGTTACCGCAGCTTTACAATAAATCCCATGATTAACACTAGTCATTATGAACATCTGTGCAAGATATCGATTTCTGAACACTCCATTCATGACTTGGCGCCAATATTTATCCTTTTTAATCATTTCGTTTATGTGTGTGTTTCCATTCCAATGCATCTTATTAAGAACACGCCCCTTGTGGTTTAGAACTGATTTTATTTTGAAGGAAATCATTATATTATGACAACAGCAATAACGACTCCAATGTACACGTGGTATTATACTTCTGTTATGAAAGGTGCTCTTGTGTAGTTGCCTATGGAAAAGTTAAAGCAGGGAGTTGTGCGCACGCTCAATGGAGCGAGCGCATGCATACACACTCCACTGATATGATGAGTTAACCGAACGACTGTTTACTTTTGGTTGTTGTTATACCCCCGTCACACTAGAGGCAGAATGAGCAAGAATGCCGTCGGTAAGACAATTCTTTGTGCGTTCCTGGATATTCGAAGAGCATTCTAAAAATTCCGAGTGCATTCCAAATATTTTTACCCATGCATTCTTGTGGCCGGCCCGAATGTTTTGCTCATGTTAAAAACTTTCGAAGTGCATTCCAAGTGGAAAATTATCGAATGGCATTTGAATAGTATTCTAACTGCACTGTGACTGCATTCTAAACATTCTCACGGCATTCCGACAGCATTCGAAACTTTCTGATCACATTCGAGGGAGAACCGAAATGGCAAGACACTTCAAATCCTGCTAGAATGAGCCGGAATGCAATTCGACTGCAACTCGATCCTATTTCAGCCAGCAACCGAACTACACTGGTACGGCATTCGAAGTGTATTCTAAATATTCTGACTGCATTCTGACAGCATTATTGATATTCCTAGTTTTCCAACTGCATTCGAGCTGCATTTGAGAGCTAGTACAGCCGAAATGTGCACGAATCATTCCAGGCTGATTCAAGCGCATTCTGAGTATTCCAACGGCATTCTTACAAGAATTAAGGTTAATTAGAAATTTCGTCCCGAATGTAGTACGAATTTTTAAATTTAGTCATTCCGGCTGGTTCTGCTTGGTTCCTGCTGATTCCGAATAAGTGTGACGGAGGCTTCACCCAGTCTTTGATCACAAAGAGGACCAAAGGGAACAACTCTGACCAAACAGTAAATGACTCTGTGAGTGTTGTAGCATCATCGGTTGTTCAAAGAGGAAGGATAAACAAGGAGGTTTCGCAGCCCTTGAGTGCAGTGACAGACGAAGGGGTGAATTCTGACGACGATATTGTCAAAACTGCTGTGGAAAATGACAGCGCTGCTCTAGAAGAGGTCAGTGTTGTTCAGGCCGAGGCTCCGTGTTTCTTAGACGAAGAGAAATGGGGTGTTCCAAGTGAGAAAGATATGCTTATAATTTTAATAGGCGTACAACTGTGTGTGTGTGTGTGTGTGTGTGTGCAAACGAGAGAGAGAGAGACAGACAGAGAGAGAAAGAGAGAGAGAATTGGGGAATTCAATTATCACAAATGCCATAATCACCATAATCTCATCATTATTTAATCATTTGCACTCGTAAAAAACACGTATGCATTTCAGGGGATTCAGCCGTTACAGCCTTAGGTGTTCTTAGAGTTAGGAAAGACAGCGAACACATTCAGCCCTTAACCCCTGTGAACTAATACCCCCTTTACACTGGACGGCGTCCTTTCTGCGTCCTATCTGCGACCATGAAATTTGGCATCGCTGTGGTCTAAATAAGGAGGCACGAGCATTGATTTTGTATCAGAATGAATGCTCAATGATCGGCCAGTTGTCGGCACGTAAAGTATTGTAATTTTTAACTCTCAAATGGGGCCGTACTGCTGGACGCAGAAAGGACGCCGTCCAGTGTAAAGGGGGCTTAAGGAAGGGGATCATTCTGACGAAGAAACTGTAAAAGCTGCTGGGGAAAATGACAGTGCTGCTCTCGAAGGGGTTTCCAAGGCGAAGATAAAACTATATGCACAGTTTCAAGTGAGTATCATGCATTTAAATAATAAAAAAATGCACATAATGTTTGCAAGTGTACAACTGTGCATATGTGTGTGTGTGTGTGTGTGTGCGTGTGTGTGTGTGTGTGTGTGTGAGAGAGAGAGAGAGAGAGAGAAAGAGAGAGAATTT